CTCATTAGCTATGACAGCATCGCATAAAGTATTTTAACATTAGTAGAGGAGCGATTAATGGTAGGCCAAAGTAGCTACGCAGTAATAATTTCTACGAGCAAGAATAAGCAGACACAAGCATCTGGGCAGAATGATACTATTTACACAAACACCAATTGTCCAAGTCAAGTAAGAGTTCAATACATTATACTTCCAATTCCTTCGCTTCAAAATGACTTGGTAACTAGGGAAAAAATAAAAAAAAATACCAGGGTTCTTTCAAAGCATTCATTAAACATTTTTTAAACTAATAAATGTGCAGCTCCTCTTTATTCATCTCTTTCCCCTTCATCTCCAGCAAGCATCCTCTCTTTGGCAGAACCAAAGTCACCCATAAGAAACACATACAATCCTGCGCTTTTGAAAAAAAAAAAAAATCGCTCCATCATGAAGATCGCCGCAGCTGCCCTGACCACTATTGCCTTACTTCCATTTATCTTGGCTGCCCCTGGGACGCCTGATGGTAGCTCCAAGTACGTGATCCAAGTATCCAAACATTTAGTTATTGGGGTGATCGGATGCTGTCGAAGGAACAAGGGTGTATACCACAACATTGGAGGTACTGCCTACTGCAACTTGCTCATTAGTCAAGAAGGCTATTTCCGTAGATGTGTCAGCTACATCGGCTTTTTTACCTCCGTCTCTTGTCATTATAGCGATTAAAAGTTGGAGGAAGAAAAAATTTGACATAGGGGTTTTAAGCCCTCTGTGGATATCAAAATTGATGCGCTTTACTGCTTTATTGCTGCCCAAACGAGGTAACATGGCGGCCTTTGCTTATTTTCTAAAGGCCAAAGCTCTATCTAAATACCTTTACTTTTTTTTTGCCGAAAAAAAATTTTATTATGATGACAATAAAAATATGATATAGAATGACGATTTTTGTGCTCGTCCTCATCCCTCTATGCTTATTTCACCGTTACAATCCCTATCACTCCACATTTACTTGTTCCTTCTGACAATTTTCTGGGTTTTTACAATAAAGTGTGTTTGGTCTTGTGAAGGATAAAAGATATAAAATTTACTGCCATTGTGGCAATGTTGTGCTTGTGCATGGTACTACTTTTATAGCCACGTGTAAGATGCTGCAAACCTTAAACGAATTAGCATAGAGCCTATGAATACTGACTACATTTGTTTAGACTTTTTGTGTCTACTCATTCTATTATGTCTTTCGAGGGAATTCTTATCGTACTAGCTAGAGGATTTGATTTTAAACACCGTTGCAAAAATTTGATTTGATTGAAAAGAAGATAACACAAATTCGAGTCCATGCGGACGGGAGACATTCGTGTACTGTTTGGAAGCGTCATGAGGAGAATGAATGTAGAAGTGACTGAGAACATTCTGTCTGAGGGTTAATCTGAAATTGATAATTGAATTCAACCTATCCCAGCATGTGACTGAAGAATTAAGGAGCTCGAACAAAGAGCATTCTGTGGTATTGTGTAATCATATTCATTAAATACTGCATACTTATACTTATATTCTGGCCTTCTTATAATCCTTTTTTTTTTTTTTTTTTTTTTTTTTTTTATTTTGCAAGAGGGCACCGCAAAAAAGAAGTGCTTGGGATAGGATTAAAGAAAATCCTTCTTTGAGCTTCCGTACGCGTTTTTACGCCCAACAAAATATACAAATGTTATCTACCACACCTTGCTTGTTGAGAAGCATCGTTACAGCGCCCAGTCCTCATCGTCAGGTAGACCAAAGCGCACTGTATCCCTCAGTGAAACATGTCAAAGCAATTGGTGGTTCGTAAAAAAAAAATATGGTGCAAAGGGTCAAAGGCTTTAATACACGCGCAAGTACTAATTCTAGGAGCCTACGAATAAAATATTTTTCTATTCTTAATTTCAAGTTCCTATATTGCCACCAAAACCTGCGAGTCGGTGATTTATAAAAAAAAAAGAACATTTGACCTTGATAGCTCGATATTTTTGGTCTTTGTTCATCTGTTTACAATATCCAGTAGGAATCGATGGAGGATAGACATTCACCATCGCTATTAGCAGTCGACTTCTACTGATATTAGGTTTATTGTTTCAGCTACAATATGCAAAGACGTTAGTGTTCTGGACCACATAGACTTGAATTTTTTTTTTTTTTGTGGTAGAAAGAAGATTTTTAAGCGTTGAAAAATATCAATTTTTGAACCGTTGTGGTGAAAGGGATCAGCATGACAATTAAAACAAAGCGAATGATAATTGTCTACCCAAAAATAGCCTTCGGCGCAGTATCAAATGATGTCTGTGTACTTCGAATTCAGGTCAAGCTAATGGGTGGCTGATCTAGTTTCAAACCACAATCATGCTGTGGCCATGTAAAAGTAGACAAACAAGCATACTAACCATCCCTACTTCTCTTTTTGACATAATTGAAACCAAAGCCACTATGGTTTAGATCGGTAGAAAATATTTTTTTATGTACTACGGTAACACCAAATAAATGCTGTTCCTTGAGCAATAGATTACCGAGAAAATGCGCGTTCCTGGGCCCGTTAGTCTACTTCGCCCTGCTAGCCTACTTGATCATGTTAGTGTTGTTAAGACATAGACACAGGATGGCTTTGACGTCAACAAAGTAAAAATAAAAAAAAAAAAAGCAACACGGTGACAACGGGAGGAACGTTAACTAATAGGTTAGGACATGAAGACACCAATGCTATCAGCAGCTACTGCAACTAGAGGGTATTTACACAGGGACAGGTACCTGACAACAAAGCACCACTTTCATGCGCGCCATCTATCCAAATCAAGCAATGATAGTTGCCACCACATAATACAATGCTTTCATGCCAAAATGTCTTGACAAAAGTTAAAAAAAGAAATCGTTAAGTACTGATACTAAAGTTTCTTCAAGGCGTCTACTGATTGCTCTTTTTAAACCTATAAATACGCGATCTCTCGTCGTCCATCTCTCTCTCCTCATCCTCTGCAATCCACATCCTCCCTTCTGTAGAACCAAAGTCAATTCATACAAAACACATACAACCCGGCACTTTTTTTTAAAAAAAAAAAAAAAAAAAAAAACAAAGAAAAGAAAAAAGGAATTAATCCAACATGAAGGTCACCGCGATCATTCTGGCTGCTATTGCTTTGCTTCCCTTCACCTTGGCTGGTCATGGGTCTTCTGATGATAACTCCAACTGCCGGGTCCGAGGATTTAGGCATGGGCTCTTCAAGGTTGCTAAATGCTGCCGAAGAAACAAAGGCGACTATCGCCTCGTGCATAGGACCGCCTACTGCAGCAATATCCCCATCTACCGAGAGGGCTACTTCCGCAGGTGTGTCAAGGACATTGGCTTTTCTACTTCTGTCTATTGCTACTACAATGATGATTAGGCGTTCTTCCAAACAACCTGTGTCGATGGGCAAGTTCTGTAAAGCGACAACTCAACCTTATTATGCTACGGCCAGGATCGTGTATTTTCTTTAGTCAGATATCGCGAATAGCCAGAAAAAAAAACAATCCATAATAAAAAAAGAGAAAAAAATATCGCCTTTGATTGTGGACTTGAATAGGGGTAGAGAACAGTTGGATAGCAAAACAAAATGCCGCTGTACCTAACTTACCCAGCTAGCATATTAGAGGTGTTTTTATTTTTTATTTTTTATTTTTTTATTCAACCTTCTCAACGCAACATTCATAAAAAACGAAGCAAGCGAAAGTATCCTTCAATTCACCATCGTAGAGCCTACCATTTTAATCCTCAAAATTGTGCTCGTGTTGCGTTAACAAGGCGGCTAAAAGAAATGAATGCATTAAAAAACATTCAGCGTAACGTATTATTCAGTACTACAAATTAATGTGACTTATAAAGGTATCTGGCAGCAATATGGCCCCTGAAGCTATTTATTTCTGGCTGAAGAGGCATTGAGGTTGCGCAACGAAAAGAGTTGGCACCCCAGCTCGGTATGTCTAGAACATGTTCTTCGTGTGTCCTTCCAAGTGAAAAGGATGAACCTTTTTTCCCTGACAAGGAACAGCTTTGGCCTGACAAAGCTCTGGTTTCATCCATCTATCCTAAATATACTGCTTTATGCTCAAGCGTACTTGTAACACTAAAGCGCTCCGAGTCATTGCCTCTGATGCGTTAGAGTATTATCAGTATGTGCTGGAAGGCGATTAAATCTCGAGTTTAATAAAACAACCTCAAGTCCTTTGCATCATGACACAGAACAATACGTGCAAAAAAAAAAAAAAAAAAAAAAAAAAGCCTTTTTTTTTCTACTACGAATAAGTAGTGCTCTTGATAGGCGAGATGGAAGCGTGATACTGTACAAGCCAAAAATTCAGGCAGCATATCGATCAAGTCGGCCCTGTATAACATCTCACCAAGACTCAAATATGAAAGTTTGTCACGAGATTTATTAAATGGTATAATTGTGCCGATATGTGTATATATATATATAAAATAGTAAACTGTAAGTGAATAGTTCAGTATGGGTAGAGTGTATGTGTTTTTTTGAGAATGAGCCTAAGATGATGACTAAAGGTTGCCAAGTTCCTAAAAAAAAAAAAAAAGAAAAGAAGAAGAAAAAAAAGAGGTCTGCATTTCTGCTCTTCGCTTTAGAGCAGTGACAAACAGTTCGCAGCCTCGGCAGTGGATGGGTCGAGCTGGTTAAGGACGAACTGGAGGATAACATAATTGAAGCGCGTACCATCTAAGAAAATAAAGGGAAAAAAAAAAAAAAAAAAGTCAAATAGCAGGTCTTTGTCGCGTTTACACTTCAACCTTGCAAACAATAATGGCTTACAATGTTCGGTAAATGACAGCAGACAAAGATTCTGAAGCAGAACGTTTGTAACTCCAGGCCCGTGCTGGAAAGCTGCCTGCCATGGAGTAATAAGTTCATCGTACCTATTGATTGCGAACAGTTTATAAAAAATGGCAGTAAAAATAGAAACAAAGCCAATTAACATCGAAGGCGGTTACGATAGAGAGAGTGTGATTATTCCTAAAAGACATATTTGGTAGCGATGTTAGATTCAATAACGCCAGGGGAAGTGTCGCCTCCAGCATTCAGCTTCTGAATAAAAGTGGAGTTCATAACCTGCTGAAAAAGTGATGGCGCGAACAAGTCAGCGAAAACCTGGAGCAGATAGGACAACCCGAGAGCCGTACCCAGCGTTGCGATCCCATACAGAGTTGTACCATGGTGGCTGGAGACGACTCCGACATGCCTGTAGACCTTACCAGCTCCATCCAAGTACTTAATCCAGTACCTTGTCAAAATACCGCCTTGTGAATGCCCAACAATGTCAACTTGAGACACATTCATCTTGCGCATAACTTCATCTGCGAAAGCTCCAATCTCTCGGGCAGAATCCTCGATCGGGGCCATACCTCCTAAGCCAGAGAATCTTATGTATCTGCCGTAAGTCAAGGCAAAGACGCAATAACCGCGCTTGGCCATTTCAGGTGCAAAAAGGCTCCAGGAATAGACGTTTAGTCCAGTCCCATGAAGCAAGATCACAGGGCGAGGATGAGCAGGAGTCAGTTTGCAGTTATAATTATTCAAGCCTTCGATCGCATGCTTTTCAAGTGTAGGACCAGTTGGAAGGGAATGGACCTTAATAGCTGAAAGAGAGAAAAGCAGGGTAGCGGCGAAACTAACGACAGAGGGAGTAAAAAACTTCATTATTGCTTAAGTCTTATAATCAGTAGAAGGAAGTGGACGTGTATGCTAGTGTCGTGATAAAAAGATTTGGAGAATAATAATGTTCAGAAAACGAAGGAACTACTTTGCTATTTGTATCTTTTTTGAGATGACTGGAAGCATACTGTGTTTCATGGTTGGTTGGTTAGGGAAATAGCTCCTGAATCAGCATCTATTATAATAGCCAAAATAACGGAAACAAGAGGATCGGCGCATCTTTTGGATTGCATGTAAAAAATAAACTAGTATGCATAAGCATAAGCTAGCTATAATGTCTGGTGGGCATTAGATACCACCAAGGATGGCAATTACCCTAATTGATGTATGTTAAAGCCAAACCCATGTAATGCTTTCAATAGTCAGCAATGCCAGTGAACAGAGACTTGGTTTATTTCGTTCATTTTTATTAAAGAGTTAATATATTGCATTTTACTCAAACCTTAATTTTTAAACTCGTGCAGCTCCATGCTTAATTCGTCATTCCTCATTTCTCCATTATTCCTCATTCTTAAAAAAAAAAAGCGAGTTCGATGGAGGCTACCTATCAAGTCACCGCGACCACCAAAAACAAGCTAACGATTGGACTATTGAAATATGAGAAGAATAGTTTCTTGACCTTGGCCTGATAATGCCCATTATATGTGTAAGTGCATCTCGCTTTCATTCCCTTCTTCTCTGTGTGTGATGCACCGCTGCTACCAATGACTATAACCACTGCTTGCAAGGAAATCATTATCATAGGTGGCACAAAACAGCTATCAATATGTGTTGCCGTGCTGTCTCTTCATTTCTGGTAGAGCCTTCTCTTTATTTCTGGCAAAGCCTTCCCTCCATCTTTTAGCAACAGCCATGACAGCAATGCAGGTCTAAACGGCATCTCCCTTACATTTAGTGTGAATCAAAGGAAGATGGTATGCACGAAAGGCTGAAGAAGCCAGAGATAAAGAGTTATATGAGGGCAAAAAAAGGATATGTTCTGTAGACATCCCTAATGTCACCTAGAGGCACGCCCCTTGCAAGTAAGTTTATCAATAAGGCCTAGCGATCAGTGCGGCATCAGGGGATTGTCACTCCGATGGTCCCAGTTGGCAAACATATCGTCTCCAACGTGCTTTACCGCCTCAGTTGCCAAAATGCTCCCCTTGAAGCATACTTCTCGTCAAGAGGTTCAGGTATCACAGCTAGAAGCACATCCAAGGGCAAAGTTGCCTGCCATGAGGTCGGGGGCCTACTAATAATGCAGCAATGGGAATAGTGGTGCATTTATTGCAAGGTTCATTAATTCTCCAAGTCCCAGCATGCCTTTCGGATGCAGCTGAGTCCCTTGGGTCACCATATCTTCATTTTATGCCGAGATACCCAGTCCAGAGTGGAGTACATCATCAGAAGTCTTATGGTATGCGTCCTTCCAAGCGCTTCAGCAATATTCATCTCCCATTGGGAAAATAATAGCCAGAAATTGAAAGATATGCGGGAATTGAATGTGGATCGCAGCACCACATTATCTGGGTATTTATTAATTCATTTCTACATGTAAAATTGGGACCTCTTATTTATGTGGGCCGGAAGGCTGCAATGTCAAGAATGTTAAGAATGTTATCCTTTGTACATGTACGTTTGTAGTGTGATCAAATACGCAATTAGACGAAATATGCAACACTCGTCCAAATCCCTTTCAGTGGGTCGCAAAGAGCATCGGGGGCACTGCACCCTTTGTCCCCAGCCCCGGCTTATCAAATGCCATGTTCAATGGGAGAGCAGTCTGTGAAAAGTTCGCGGTGGCAGATACATAAGGGATTTCATGGGCTTCTTGTGGCGCTCAAAAAGTGAATCCGAATATCAGATCAAAGAGCCTACAATCGGCGATATGAGTTGTTTGGGCTGGTCAGAGACACAACGGCAAGGAAGGATCGCAAGGCTGAAGGCATTATTGCTGAATTGTCACGAGAAATGTCGGAAGGACTATTAGCTTGCTGTTAAGGCCCATGAAAGCCGAAGAGCGGAAGGACCCTGAAGGGAGCCAGGAGTGGGTGATGGTGTCTTTTCCCGGCAATAAAAGGTTGATAACAATAACAGATAGAAACAAATAATGATGTAATATCATTTGGCTTACTAAAAAAAAAAAAAAAAAAAAAAAAAAAAAATCTTAGTCTGTTTGTGAGTTGCATCTGTAGACCGTTTTGCGTTTGTTGGAGCTGAACACGCTATCTGTTGTGAATACGGAGGGGAAATAGGATGTTGGAGCAAAACTGTGATCACTATTCACTGCATTTAGAGACACAAAGCAAAAACAGTCACAGCCAGATACAGTCTGTTGAAGTGGCTCGTCAATGCTGTTGAAGTGGCTCGTCAATGCTGTTGACGAGCTATTTGCATGGGCTCCGCTAAATATGATTAAAAAAAAATTCTAAATGATTCTTTTTGGAATAAATTAAGATATCAGGTTTCCATTCAAATGGATAAATCACCGATAGTGAAGCTTTCTAACTAGAAATACATCAGAGCTTTCAGTGAGCGACAGCCTTGTGGCTTGATAGAGCCAGTTAGAGCCGGAATCACCAATATTCTGCGATGTATATGTAGTATTCTGGATAAAAGAAATAAAGGCATATTACAAACCGATCATTCAATTGGGAAGATTGACATTTCTATCAGTCAAAAATAGGTTGACCTTGTATAGCGTATCTCAAATGCGAAAGATTTATTTAACAGTACAACTGTGGCATGCGACCAGCGACATGTGTATAAAAAAAAAAGAATAGTAAAATACAAGTGAATAGTTAAGTATGGGTAGAGAAAGAATGTGGATTTTGAGGATGAGCCTGAGGTGATGACTGAAGATAGCCAAGTTCCTAATAACAAGAAAAAAAGGGCTCTGTCTTTCTGCTCTCCGCTTTAGAGCAGTGACAAGCAGCTCGCAGTCTTGGCAGTCGATGGGTCAAGCTGGTTAAGGACGAACTGAAGAGCGACCTTGCTGTGGAGAATGTCAACTAATAAAATAAAGAAAATAAGGGTCAAATACCAAGTCTTTATCCTGTTTGTACTCTAATCTCACAACGACAATGGCTTACGATGTTCGTCCAATGACAACGTGCAAAGGTCTTGAAGTGCAGCGTTTATAACGCCAGGGCCATGCTGGAAGCACGACTTCCATGGAGTAATAATGTCTTCGTACCTGTTGGTTATGAATATTTTTTTAAAAAAATTAATATTGAAATCCATTACAACAGAACATGTTTATAACTTTATGCTTCAAAGACATACTTGGTAGCGATGTTAGATTCAATAACGCCAGGGGAAGTGTCGCCTCCAGCATTCAGCGTCTGCATAAAAGTGGAGTTCGCAAGCAGCTGAGATAGTGATGGAATGAGCGGCTCATACACGGACCGGAACGGATAGAACAACCCGAGAGCTGTAGTCAGCGTTGCGATCCCATTCAGAGTTGTACCATGGTGGATGGGGGCGATTCCGATATGCCTGTAAACCTTGCCAGCTCCATCCAAATACTTAATCCAGTACCTTGTCAGAATGCCGCCTTGTGAATGCCCAACAATGTCAACTTGAGACACATTCATCTTGCGCATAACTTCATCTGCGAAAGCTCCAATCTCTCGGGCAGAATCCTCAACCGGAGTAAGGCCTCCGAACCCAGGAATTTTTTTATTTTTGCCATAGGTGAGACCAAAGACACAATAGCCGCGCTTGATCAGTTCAGGTGCAAACGTGGACCAGGAATAGACGGTTAGTGTAGCCCCATGAAGCAAGATCACAGGGCGAGGATGAACAGGAGTCAGTTTGCAGTTATAATTATTCAAGCCTTCGATCGTATGCTTTTCAAGTGCAACGGAACTTGCAGGGTTGATTGGAAGGGAATGAATTGGGATAGCTGAAAGAGAAAGAAGTAAGGCAGCGGCAGCATTAACAGCGGAGGGGAGAGCAAATTTCATTATTTCTTAAGCTCTATAATCAGTAAAAGGAAGTGGGTGGATGTGCTGGTGTTGTGGTAAAAAGACTTGAAAGGTGAAGTTGTTTAGAAAACGAAGGAGCTGCTTCGCTATTTGTACCTTTTTCTGAAGTAGCTGGAGGGTGCTCTGCGCTCCACGATTAATTGCTTAGGGAAATAGCTTCTACATTGGTATCTATTATAATAGCCAGAATAGCGGAAACAAGAGGATCAGCGCACCTTTTGGGTTGCATTAAAAAAAAACTAGATGCATGAGCATAAAGCTAGCTATAATGTCTGGTGGGCATTAGATACCACCAAGGATGGCAATTACCCTGACTAGTGCATGATAAAGCCAGGTTAAAACATGATTATCAACAATCGATAATGTCGGTCAACAGAGACATGTTTAATACGTCCATTTCTAGTACGGAAAATACTTAACTCTGTTACCAATAAGTCGGTATGCACTTCCTGGAATTTAGACTAGCATGGCTCTTGTTTTTTGCATGTCAAAGTATACAAGATAAAAATTAGCCTTATGTATAGATTCGTGTTGTATAACTATTTTTAGGACGAGCAGAGCAAACATCAGTTGTGGTGGAATTGAGATGTATACATCCACAGAGGCCCCAGACGAAGCAGCTATACAAAAGCAGCATGAGCAGCAATTATACGGTGGGACGATCCACTTACACGGATCAGCAACTTTAACGAGTCAATGGAAAATCCAAATGGCTTCTCAAAAGTGAAATTGCAGTATGTTCACAGAAAATAGTGGAGATATGAGAAAGTGAATGTTGTACACCATTTATTCCAAAGACTGTAAAGTAAGGATCACATCCATTACCTCTGGCCAGCCTGATGTCCGCTACTGTGCCATCACAACTAGTGTGAAGTAAAGGATGCCTTCTTACCAAATTGCTCTATTTCGACTGGCCACTTCAATCAACATACTAAATTTTCTGTGCTTGCGAAGAGTTAATTTATGCGTGTGCTTGTCCCCATTTCATCATTCAGTTACAAGACAACTTTATATGTGCGGTTGTAAATATCACGAGGAGTACGGGAAGTCTTTTCGGATATAGCCAAGGGATAAATAAATGGCATGGATAATACAAATGATACTAAGGCCCATTAAAAACATCAAGAAACGTGGACATTATGGGAGAAAGTCCTTTATTCTTGGATATACAGTGTTAGAAGATCATAGAATATGCCATACATATTGTAGAGTATCCACTTTTTCAAACCCTCTTAAATGCCCATCGAAGCTTTTAATATTGTATGATTGGACATTAAGGCGTAATGCCGCTCACCTTGCTTTATTTATTATCACCACAACATTTTTGCCTTGATCAAGGCTGCAGCCAGTCCAACAATTTATAGCAATAAAATGATGATACTATAAACAGTGAAAAGCAGTAGATTGGATGTTGGTCTCTTTTTTTTTTTTTTTTTTTTTTTTTATTTGAGGATAAGTAAAGAATATGCTATTATGGGATGTCATAAAAACTGAGACAAAGCCTTGGATCGTAGAGGATGTCCATACCTTTGCACTAGCTCTATGCCCTTGTATGTACAAAACAATATCAGAAAACCAGGGGTTTAGCTTATTTTAAGTGTCTCTGACAACACCAATCTCATTGTGAAATTGTTTACCAGACGACGCGTTTACTGCAGCAGTAAAAAAGCCTGTAATTTTTTCAGCCCAAAACGCCACATAATGCAGTTGTGTAAATCGCCCTCTTCCGTTTTGTTTTTCAGTCCATGACATTCGCGCCGTGGCACAACGCTGAACGGAAATATATATATATATCTATATTAATACATTTGTGAATCGTGTTTGTGATCCATTTGGTGCTTGGTAGTGTACATGCTATCTCCTGACTGCCGTTGCGATCGGTCGGGGAAAGACAAATCAAGACAAGGCATAATCTTTTACTCTAGCCTGTCAAAAGGCCTATAGGCGCCCTCGTCAACTTATTGAGCTGATCAATAGAGAGGCAAAAAAAAAGGATCAATCCATCGACAAAGTCGTGTAAGCACTCTTAGAATCCAGTGTAGGGCGTACGATGAATTCACTTCGCCTTGCAATAGAGGTGAAGGAGACACGAGAATATTGGGCATAGTCATCGTAAGCTATCGTCTCTACTTGACGCGTCACAGGGCTACACTGAAGATAATATGGACAAGTAAACTAGAGATCAAAAAACCAAAAAAAAAAAAAAAAAAAAAAAAAGATACGATTGAGAAGGACGCACCTGTGCGCGATAAATTGTTATTTAGAGAAAGAGAATGAATGCGCGCAATGATTAACAGCGCAGGGACTAAGAAAGAATGTATATTGTGTCTTTCTACAATTTAAATGACCAAGAATAAAAGGTAGAATTGAGGAAGAAAAGCGTGGCAATCACAAAACAAATCGATGGAAAGTAGTAGCGATCACAAATGGAAGAGAAAGGAAGTAGTGATGAAGTGTGTGTAACAGTCACATAGAATACATACACTGGTAATCCTCCTCATCTTCCTCATCATCCATCCAAAACATGGCAACGTTGTCTAAGTATCTTTCGTTGCTTGATTGAAAGGCCTTTGTTTTGTATTAAAGGCGGGATGTGTATAAAAGGCACTTCAAAAAGGCAAAAGGGTGGCAATGTGGTTTGGTCAGAAAGCGCCGTGCACAGAATCTTTAATATGGGGCAAGATAACATTAATGACTTCCAAAAAAAAAAAAAAAAAAATTCGTGTCACACTCATATATGAGCAAGAATGATCATCGCCACACTTTTTTTTTTTTTTTTTTTTTTTATTTTGATCTTACGCACCACATCCATATTGCAAGGCGAAAGGAAATATCTAGTATAAAGCTACATAATGACGGGCCAATATTTAACAGTGTCCGCCGCTGTTGAGAGATGATAACCAATCAATGTTTGCACTAAAATTACTTTTGGTTGAACCAAGCTTGATCAAAATCTTCGATTTTAGAATATCGTGGCGCATCGATAAAATAGGACCTAATGATAAACAACCGCCTTCAAAAAAACTGGTTTTCCAACATGCTGGACACGCAAAAAACTCAGCAGGATTTTCTGGCGTATTGGCTGGCAAAAATAGACTAGACGAGGAAGATGTTGCAACATCTCTCTATATGCTTTTAGACTTTGTAGAATCAATCGTAGAATCAAAAAAAAATGTTAACTATATTTCCTGTAATATGCACCTTGACTTTATTTACATCAGAACAGTTACACAAACAAGACACAGTTGTAGCTCCATAGATTCGCCCAATGACTGCTTCTTCGTCAAAACTGTTCAACCTACTAAAACCCATATAAATATGGCGATTTAAATATATTAAAATACGTCCATAGAGGATGGAATTTCATTAGATACAATTAAAATCCAATGGAGCTGTAGATGCTACGCCTCCTACTGATCGGCTTAGTAGCTAGCTTGCAAAGGATTCAGCCGTCACAGTTGATAGAAGAGGTTGGCGAAAGATATCTAAAGAAAGCAAGATATGGATTAGACTACCAAGTATGCACTCATATGGAGAATAAAGCGTCGATAGTGAAGCTTTTCTGCTTAGAGATGCATGGATTCGATAGTACTTCCAGGTGATGGCCTTGTGGCTTAACAGAGCCACCGAATCGTTCCCTGGTATGTAGGTGGAAGTGATAAAGCATAATCCAATATGATAAGTCTGTCTCCGCAGATAATGCGAGGTAAAGGATTTCTTTTTGTCAGTTTGTTCCATTTCAACCGGTCACTCCTTCCAACATGCTATAACTCCTGTCTTTGCGATGATTGATATATGCGTATGCGAGTTCCAAATCCATCGTCCAGTAATAGACAATTTTGTATGCCCAACTGCAAAAAAGACGTTGAACGTCTGTGCTCGAGCACATTAAAAGCATCAAGGAATGTGTGTAATATGGGGGATAGTCATTCACCCTGGGCCATATTAGATAGAGTCATAAGAAGGCTATCTATGGGAGCCTAAAGCTATTAATTGACATCAAACATCACTTCTCTGTCAAAGGTACCTATCGAAACCCTCTTGACCTGGATTCAAATTGAATGCGTATCTATATTCCAAAGTAATAAAGACTTTAGCTAGAACGGGCACGCAATCAGCCCAACTTTCCAATCTATCAAGCACCTTAAATGCCAGCTGGAGTTCCAGAGGCTGCATACATGGATGTGCAGGCATAATACAATCCATCTTGCTTTGGATCCATGCACTAACAATAGGCTTGAATAAACTCCCACATCTTGTTCGCGATTCTGCGATCCTTGAAAGGGAGGTACACCGATCAATGACTTAGCCGGACGTTGTTGGAGATTTTATAAATACAGTTACAGGCTCTCAAAGTAAAACTGATCACGTCAACCATGCTGCTTCATCCTCTCATTCTTTCATTTCCCCATCCTCATTCCTCTTTCTCTCATTAAGAAAAAAAAAAAAAAAAAAAAAAAAAGACTCCTTCTACTAAGTATATGTAGTGCTATTCTGGATAGAAGATATGGAAGCAAGGTACAAATCAATTCAGTCGAAAAGCTAGACATATCTATCAGGCTAAAAGCTAGACATGTCTATCAGTCAAATGCAGATTGGCCCTTTATAGCACCTCATCGGGCCGTAACTATGAAAGTTTATAATGGGATTTATAGAATAATACAACTGTAGCATGTGGTTGGCGACATGTGTGTAAAAAAAAAGGACGGTAAAGGACAAGCTCGTAGTCAAGTATAGGCCAAAAAAACGTTTTTATTTTTATTTTTTTATTTTTTTTTTTTGGATGTCAAAGGTTGTATAAAGAAAAAATAAATAGGCGCCTGTCTTTCTGCTCTTCGACCTAAAACAGCAACCGGCAGCTAGCAGGTTCCGCGGTGGATGGATCGAGTTGATTCAGGATGAACTGATGAACGATATTGTTAAAGGGCATGGTCGCTAATAAAGTAAAAGAAAGGGAGGTCAACTACCAGAAGCATGTCATGTTTGTACTTCAATCATACAAACAACAATCACTTACGATGGTCGTCCAATGAAAACTTGCAAAGCTTCTGAAGCACAGCATTTGTTACATTAGGCCCATGCTGGAAGCATGACTGCCATGGAACTACAATCTTGTCGTACCTATTGATTGCGGATAGGTTGAAAAATAAAAAGTTGTTACCAAACACCGTCGTGATCGAGTATGTATATAGCTTTATAGTGCAAAGACATACCTGGTAGCAATGTTGGATTCGATAACACCAGGAGTAGTATCGCCTCCAGCATTCAACTTCTGCATAAACGTGGAGTTCGCAATCATTGAGGGGATTGACGGCACGAGCGAGATGTCGGGGTGCAATATCCCGGCAGCCTTAACCAATGCTACGGCTCCAGCCTGAGTTGTACCATGGTGAATAGGAGAAATCCCAATATGCCTGTAGACCTTGCCAGCTCCATCCAAATACTTAACCCAGTACCTTGTCAGGATACCGCCTTGTGAATATCCTACGATATCTACTTGAGACGCATTCATCCTGTGCATCACTTTGTTCGCAAAGGCTCCCATCTCTCTGGCAGAGTCCTCGATAGGAGCAAGGCCTCCAAGAAAAGGGATTATTTTGTGTCTGCCATAGGTAAGGCCAAAGACACAATAGCCGCGTTTGATCAATTTAGGTGCAAACTTGAACCAAAGATGGACAGTATTTGCAGTTCCATGAACTAGGATTACAGGACGAGGATGAGCAGGAGTCAGTTTACAGTTATAATCATTCAAGCCTCTGATCGCAGCCTCTTTAGCTACAATAGGCCTGGCAAGATCAGTTGGAAGAGAGTAAACTTGGATAGCCGAAAGAGAAAGGAGGGCAGCGGCAACGCTAATGAGAGAGAAGATAGTAAACTTCATTGTCGCTTAGATCCTTTGCTCAGTAGAAGAGCGCTTGGATATGCTGGTATTGTGCTAAGAGAACTTGAAGGATGGTGTTGCTCAGAAATTGAGGGCCTCCCTCGCTATTTGTATCATTTCTGCTTTCATTCTAAAAGAAGAGCATACAAAGCTAACTACATTACTCGGCATACCTCAGAGATCATCAGCATTAGTGTATGCTAAAGCCAAGCTCAGGCATTGCTATCAATAATTATCCGTGTCAGAAAAACAAAGACATGTTTAGTACGTCCATCCCCATTAAGGAGAACGTTTTGACGCTATTGCAAGTTAATGCGTACTCAATCGAACTTTATTTTATGCTGCACACAACGCATCATAATTTAGGATAAGAATGAAGGGAGAAGTTAATGCATCGATTGTTAATCTGGTGCAAAGTTGAAGAACATGAGTCTGTGCAGCTCCCAGGGCGGACCAGTCATATGGAGGCAATGTAAACGAGAAGGACACGGAGAAATAAAGTATATTCATGGGCTAGTAACGAAGAGGGGTCAAATAAATCTGTACAAATATAAACTTACTGCACACGTCTCTCCCCTCCAAGTTTTGTATTTTCAGGGTCATAGACATTCCCCTGATTAATTTAATGTCCGCCGCTCTGTCTTCAAGGCTATTGTGAAGCAAAAGATGTCTTATCAATGTGCCCCATTTCAACTTGTCATTTTATTCAATGAAGTGTATTTTCTGTGTTCGCAAAGAGTTGGCCTATGCCGGTATTACTTCCAGTCCAATCGCTCAATATGAGTCAGTCTTGAATGCACAGCTGCAAAAAAAGTAACCGTAGTCCTTATGGTTTTGGTCAAAAGATGAATAACCACCATGATCAGTACAGGCACTACGGCACATTGAAAACATCAAGAAAAATGAATAATATGCGGGACAGTCCCTTGACCTTAGCCACTTTAGATTAGCTCATAGAAAGCCCAGCTATAGGAGCTAAGGCTGTGAATTGAGACCAAACAATACTTCTATCAAGAGGGTCCCTCAAAATCTCACTTGACCTGAACTCAAATCTGTATTCTGGAGTAAAGAAGACTTTAAGTGGAAGCGGTACATATTCTCAATTATTCAAGCTCTATTAAGCGCCAGCTAAAGTTCCAGGTGTTGCATGCGTGGATGTGCAGGCACAATACCATCCATCTTGCTTTGGATCCATACACTAACAATAGACTTGAATATTCACTATTTCCATTTCCAAGTAGAGCATAAGTAAAGAGTGTGCTGCCGTGTCATGTGAAAAGAGATTTCTGAACCTTAAAGTGTGCTAATATGGAATAAATATGAGGATGATCATCTTTGTGCATGAATGGCCAAATCAAAGGCTGGAACCATCATCCACCAGAAGACGTATTTACTATAGCAGTAAAGTAAAAGCATCTGCATTTCTCTCGAACCATTGTGGCACAGAATGCAGCTGCATAACGCTTTGTCTTCCTTTTCGCTTAATGATTTATGGGTCTGTGTTGTGTCCAGTCAATGTGATGCAATGAGAACTGGCTCCAATGCTCGCATTTCAAAGGTGAAGCAGTACATAGTTAAAGTATCATGGCCCTCACTGCATTGTATAGAATTTTTTTTTTGTCCGGCATTCATTGTGCACAACACGAACCCATGAATCGCTGAGCGAAACTGAAGCTTTATACAAATGCATTCTGTAGCTTTATGGATTGAAAGAAGTGTGTCTCCTGGTGAACAATGCAAAAAAGAAATAAAACCTAAAGAACACGTAGCCTTTAGCTATTATGCGCAAAGTTGGTCGCCCTGATTTTCATACCGTCTGCATAAGTGTACCGCTAGAACAAAGATGTTAGTACACTGAGGTTCAGCAACATATTGTTTACTTATCCTCAACTTAGTGTTGGTATTGGACCCAAAGCAAGATGGATGGTATTGTGCCTGCACATCCACGCATGCAACGCCTGGAACTTTAGCTGGCGCTTAATAGAGCTTGAATAATTGAGAATATGTACCGCTTCCACTTAAAGTCTTCTTTACTCCAGAATACAGATTTGAGTTCAGGTCAAGTGAGATTTTGAGGGACCCTCTTGATAGAAGTATTGTTTGGTCTCAATTCACAGCCTTAGCTCCTATAGCTGGGCTTTCTATGAGCTAATCTAAAGTGGCTAAGGTCAAGGGACTGTCCCGCATATTATTCATTTTTCTTGATGTTTTCAATGTGCCGTAGTGCCTGTACTGATCATGGTGGTTATTCATCTTTTGACCAAAACCATAAGGACTACGGTTACTTTTTTTGCAGCTGTGCATTCAAGACTGACTCATATTGAGCGATTGGACTGGAAGTAATACCGGCATAGGCCAACTCTTTGCGAACACAGAAAATACACTTCATTGAATAAAATGACAAGTTGAAATGGGGCACATTGATAAGACATCTTTTGCTTCACAATAGCCTTGAAGACAGAGCGGCGGACATTAAATTAATCAGGGGAATGTCTATGACCCTGAAAATACAAAACTTGGAGGGGAGAGACGTGTGCAGTAAGTTTATATTTGTACAGATTTATTTGACCCCTCTTCGTTACTAGCCCATGAATATACTTTATTTCTCCGTGTCCTTCTCGTTTACATTGCCTCCATATGACTGGTCCGCCCTGGGAGCTGCACAGACTCATGTTCTTCAACTTTGCACCAGATTAACAATCGATGCATTAACTTCTCCCTTCATTCTTATCCTAAATTATGATGCGTTGTGTGCAGCATAAAATAAAGTTCGATTGAGTACGCATTAACTTGCAATAGCGTCAAAACGTTCTCCTTAATGGGGATGGACGTACTAAACATGTCTTTGTTTTTCTGACACGGATAATTATTGATAGCAATGCCTGAGCTTGGCTTTAGCATACACTAATGCTGATGATCTCTGAGGTATGCCGAGTAATGTAGTTAGCTTTGTATGCTCTTCTTTTAGAATGAAAGCAGAAATGATACAAATAGCGAGGGAGGCCCTCAATTTCTGAGCAACACCATCCTTCAAGTTCTCTTAGCACAATACCAGCATATCCAAGCGCTCTTCTACTGAGCAAAGGATCTAAGCGACAATGAAGTTTACTATCTTCTCTCTCATTAGCGTTGCCGCTGCCCTCCTTTCTCTTTCGGCTATCCAAGTTTACTCTCTTCCAACTGATCTTGCCAGGCCTATTGTAGCTAAAGAGGCTGCGATCAGAGGCTTGAATGATTATAACTGTAAACTGACTCCTGCTCATCCTCGTCCTGTAATCCTAGTTCATGGAACTGCAAATACTGTCCATCTTTGGTTCAAGTTTGCACCTAAATTGATCAAACGCGGCTATTGTGTCTTTGGCCTTACCTATGGCAGACACAAAATAATCCCTTTTCTTGGAGGCCTTGCTCCTATCGAGGACTCTGCCAGAGAGATGGGAGCCTTTGCGAACAAAGTGATGCACAGGATGAATGCGTCTCAAGTAGATATCGTAGGATATTCACAAGGCGGTATCCTGACAAGGTACTGGGTTAAGTATTTGGATGGAGCTGGCAAGGTCTACAGGCATATTGGGATTTCTCCTATTCACCATGGTACAACTCAGGCTGGAGCCGTAGCATTGGTTAAGGCTGCCGGGATATTGCACCCCGACATCTCGCTCGTGCCGTCAATCCCCTCAATGATTGCGAACTCCACGTTTATGCAGAAGTTGAATGCTGGAGGCGATACTACTCCTGGTGTTATCGAATCCAACATTGCTACCAGGTATGTCTTTGCACTATAAAGCTATATACATACTCGATCACGACGGTGTTTGGTAACAACTTTTTATTTTTCAACCTATCCGCAATCAATAGGTACGACAAGATTGTAGTTCCATGGCAGTCATGCTTCCAGCATGGGCCTAATGTAACAAATGCTGTGCTTCAGAAGCTTTGCAAGTTTTCATTGGACGACCATCGTAAGTGATTGTTGTTTGTATGATTGAAGTACAAACATGACATGCTTCTGGTAGTTGACCTCCCTTTCTTTTACTTTATTAGCGACCATGCCCTTTAACAATATCGTTCATCAGTTCATCCTGAATCAACTCGATCCATCCACCGCGGAACCTGCTAGCTGCCGGTTGCTGTTTTAGGTCGAAGAGCAGAAAGACAGGCGCCTATTTATTTTTTCTTTATACAACCTTTGACATCCAAAAAAAAAAAATAAAAAAATAAAAATAAAAACGTTTTTTTGGCCTATACTTGACTACGAGCTTGTCCTTTACCGTCCTTTTTTTTTACACACATGTCGCCAACCACATGCTACAGTTGTATTATTCTATAAATCCCATTATAAACTTTCATAGTTACGGCCCGATGAGGTGCTATAAAGGGCCAATCTGCATTTGACTGATAGACATGTCTAGCTTTTAGCCTGATAGATATGTCTAGCTTTTCGACTGAATTGATTTGTACCTTGCTTCCATATCTTCTATCCAGAATAGCACTACATATACTTAGTAGAAGGAGTCTTTTTTTTTTTTTTTTTTTTTTTTTTCTTAATGAGAGAAAGAGGAATGAGGATGGGGAAATGAAAGAATGAGAGGATGAAGCAGCATGGTTGACGTGATCAGTTTTACTTTGAGAGCCTGTAACTGTATTTATAAAATCTCCAACAACGTCCGGCTAAGTCATTGATCGGTGTACCTCCCTTTCAAGGATCGCAGAATCGCGAACAAGATGTGGGAGTTTATTCAAGCCTATTGTTAGTGCATGGATCCAAAGCAAGATGGATTGTATTATGCCTGCACATCCATGTATGCAGCCTCTGGAACTCCAGCTGGCATTTAAGGTGCTTGATAGATTGGAAAGTTGGGCTGATTGCGTGCCCGTTCTAGCTAAAGTCTTTATTACTTTGGAATATAGATACGCATTCAATTTGAATCCAGGTCAAGAGGGTTTCGATAGGTACCTTTGACAGAGAAGTGATGTTTGATGTCAATTAATAGCTTTAGGCTCCCATAGATAGCCTTCTTATGACTCTATCTAATATGGCCCAGGGTGAATGACTATCCCCCATATTACACACATTCCTTGATGCTTTTAATGTGCTCGAGCACAGACGTTCAACGTCTTTTTTGCAGTTGGGCATACAAAATTGTCTATTACTGGACGATGGGATTTGGGCTAGTACACCCATAAACCAATTTTTGGCAAAAACAGAAAATGTAGTATGTTGAATGCAGTGACCATTCGATTGGAACAAATTGATAGAAAGACATTCTTTTCTTAACATTATCTGCGGAGACAGAGCGCCGGATAGTATGTTGGTCAGGTAATGGATAGTTCGGTCGAACACTAGTGAATACTAAAGCCTATTGTTCGACAATGAGGAGGCAACCAATGTCTCACCCGCAGCCGCCCTTGGTTCATTAATAGATGTGAGACATCCAAAGAATACGACACAATTTTGATTAGTCATAAAAAAAAATAAGTTACGTACCTTATGCACTCGCATTTACTCATATCTCTGTTAACTTCTATGAGTGTTCGTTGATTTCATTTTGTAGATGCTAAGTCATGATGATAGCTCATTCCCTCGTTCCCCCCGCATTTTTATCACTGCTTTGACCCAGGGAGCTGCACGGGTATATGCATCTCAAATTTACACCAGCTTCTAGTTTTATTTCTTGGTTCAATGCTGAAAGTTGGGAGAAAACTGATGTTTGAATAAATACAAAAAAATCTGGTTGTAGTATGCGCTTACTTGCAATTAGTAATGCGTACATTAAACATGTTTCTGTTCGCTGACATTAGCGATAGTTGCTAATAGTGCTTAAGCTCGGCTTTAGTATGAAAACATGCTAGTGGTACCTGATACCCATCGAATAATTTAGTTAGTTTATAGCCCTTCTTTGGAAATGGATCACCCTCCCTGCCTTTGTAATAGATACAGTGGCTTCCAATATTTCCAAGTGTTTCATTCTTCCAAAGGAAAACTATAAGTGTTCAACAGTGAGCAGCACTTGTGCCCTTGGATCCTAGATGGGAACAACCTGGAAGACATACTTTATTTGCTCTAAACCTATTAGCGCTCCTGCTTGTTTCTGATAGCTTTTCACTACTTTGAAATTATCCCCTCCATGTTCGCGAATTTTTTTTTTAAATGATCCCACAAATGCTCAATAGGGTTTAGGTTTGGTGAATTGGCAGGCCATGTTAGTATTCTACCTGATGCTCTTGTCAATCCAATAGAGGCAAGGTAGGTTAGGACTCTCTTAGCCGTATGCTTAGAATCATTGTCTTGTTGGAAGATAAATTGCTCTGGATCAATGTTGTACCAATTCACAGTATTCAATAGCTCGTCCTGGAGGATACGAATATACAGCTCGGAGTCCAGCGTGGAGTCGATCTTGGCCAAGTAGCCTGACCCATCCCACGTCATGCAGCCCCAGACCATGATCGAACCACCACCATGTTTGACTGTGGGCGAAACTAACTTTGGGTCAATATCAGTCGCCTCCGCCTTTGGTTCTTTATTTGATTCCACCCAAACATAGATATCCTAGAAATTTTGGGCTCATCGGACCAAATTACTCGCTTTCAATCAGCTTCGGTCCAGTCTTTGTGCTGGAGAGCAAAGTCCAGTCGAGCTTTCTTTTGACGTTTTGTTAGCCTAGGCTTCTTAACGGCTTTTTTAGCTTCCGGGCCTATATCTCTCAGCGCCCGACGCACCGTATTAGCTGACACTGGATCTTCGTTCTCATCGCTATAAAGCCTGGTAGCATGGACAGCTGATGAGACTATACCACGGTGAAGCAACAATCGAATATAATATGCATTCCGGTAATTGAACTTCCGTGGCCGACCAGCTCTACTTTTACTCCTGACAGGCCCTAATGTCTTGGAGACTGAGGATTTGGATATGCCTACTTCTGTGGCAACCTGACGGACGGACTTGTGCTGCTCGAGTAAATGGAGAGCATCCTCAACAACGGATGCTTTGATTGGCCTCATCTTTGCTTAGGAAGAGTAACGTAGGCTCTCAGAAAAGTGTAAGTGAAGAGTATTTACTCAAGTGTGTGGGAGATAATTTGAAAAAAATTCTGCAAAGGTGCGTAAAATAAGTGATGGTTATACAGTATAATTGTCCAAATGACATTAAATACTTTTGTCAACTAAAAACCATGATGAATGAGACTACAGTCCTCCCTTGACATAAGGGACTCACAGCCAGTGCTCCTATTCGAACTGAAACTCTGTCAATTGATATTTATTTTTTTAATTTAAAACATCATAATTGACAAAGTTTCAGTTCGAATAGGAGCACTGCTCACAGCCCCTTATGTCAAGGGACTTTCTTGAGCCCAAATCAATTCAATCGAGTAAACAAAAAAGAATTTCCACATATAATTCATGAGGACGTGAAAAAAATATTGCCCTTAATGACAGGAATTGGAGGTATTTAAGGGGAGCATATCAATGAACGAATTCATCTTTTTTCATTAAATATAAGACATTTTCTTTTTTGTTTACTCGATTGAATTGATTTGGGCTCAAGGGAGGACTGTAGAGATATTTTAAACTGGACCAGTACACTTATCATCGGCATACTTGTTTATTCTGATAAAAATAAAAGTGCAAGCAAACATCGCTATTATTCTAATCAATATGGAAACATGGGCGTGGAACGTGTGCACGATTTTAGAAGCCACTGTATCAATGCTGGATTTATCCCTTTATCAAGTAACCATGAAAGGTAGAATGTCTGCAGCCAACTCAGAAAAAGATACAAAAAGTGAAGTAAATCCTTCATTTTCTGAACATCATCATCCTTCGTTTTCTTATCACGATACCAGCATACCCAACCACTCCTACTGAGCAAAGGATCCAAGCGACAATGAAGTTTACTATCTTCTCTGTGATAAGCGTTACCGTCGCCCTTCTTTCTCTCCCGTCTATCCAAGTTTACTCCCTTCCAACTGATCTTGCCAGGCCTATTGTAGCTAAAGAGACTGCGATCAGAGGCTTGAATGATTATAACTGCAAACTGACTCCTGCTCATCCTCGCCCTGTGATCTTGCTCCATGGAACTTTAGATACTATCAATATTTGGACCGTTTTTGCACTTAAATTGATCGCGCGCGGCTATTGTGTCTTTGGGATCACCTATGGCAGATTTGGAATAATCCCTATCCTTGGAGGCCTTACTAAGATTGAGGATTCTGCCAAAGAGGTTGGAGCCTTTATAAACAAAGTGATGCGCAAGATGAAAGCGTCCCAAATCGATATTGTTGGACATTCGCAAGGCACTGTCGTGGCAAGGTACTGGATGAAGTACTTGGATGGAGCTGGCAAGGTCCACAGGAGCATTGGGGTTTCCCCCGGCCACCATGGAACAACTCAGGCAGGGTTCGTTGCGCTGGCTGCAGCTACCAGGCTGCTCACTGCGATAAATCCCTACCAACACATACTCGCGCCAGTATATCCTGAACTGATTACGAACTCCACGTTTATACGGAAGTTGAATACTGGAGGCGATACTACTCCTGGTGTTATCGAATCCAACATTGCTACCATGTATGTCTTTGCACTATAAAGCTATACACATACTCTGTCGCAACGGTCTTCAGCATTAACTTTTATTTGTTGTATTTTTTTTTTTTTTTTTTTTTTTTAATTATTGCAATCACTAGATACGATGAAACCGTAATTCCATGGCAATTAAGCTTACAAGACGGGCCCAATGTAACAAATGTCGTACTTCAGGACCTCTGCATTCTATCATTCAACGGCCATGGTAAGTGATTGTTGTTTGTATGATTGAAGCAGCACAAATATGCCATGCTTCTGGTAGTTAGTTTCTCTTTCTTTTATTTTATTAGCGACTATGCCCCTTAGCAAGGTCGTCCATCAATTCATCTTCAATCAACTCGACCCATCCACCGCCGAACCTGCGAACTGCTGGTCGCTTTTATAAGCCCGAAGGCAAAATTACGGACCCTTTTTTCTTCTTTATAAAGCATCACAACCAACGATATCCAAAAAAAAAAAAAAAAAAAAAAAAAAAAAAATGCTTTCTCAGCTCATACTTGACTATGTATCTATGCCTTACTATTCTTTTTTTTTTTTCTTTGTCTCATCCAACATACTATATTTTCTGTCTTTGCGAAGAATTGGTTTATGGGTATACTAGCTCCACCTTCCAAAAAAAAAAAAAAAAAAAAAAAAAAAGGAGGATCTTAAATCCTAGAGTGTGCTAATATCTTTCTTTGTACTAGTGGCACATTTATTGCAACCGGAGTAAAAACCAGAACGGACACCTTTGTGCGTGAATAATCAAAGGCAATGAGCTCTTTTCTTTGTAACATTGTTTATCGAAGACGCGTTCACTGCAGAAATAAAGTAAAATGATTAGAACGTAGATCAACCCTATATTGCCAAAAAAATGTAACGGTATAGAATTTCTTTCTTCCTGTTTCTCAATTCATGATGCCCGCGTTGTGTACGATGCAAAATTTATTAAGGAGAATGGCTGACTTCACGTTTAAAAAAAAAAAAAAAAAAAAAAAAAATTAAATCTAACTACTAATATAATTACAGTCCAAGAAAGATTCCCTATTTCATGTCCACAGTTCTTCAATTCTTGGCAGAAAGGCATATCAACCAGTCAAGCTCCTCTAATGCCAAGCCAGGTTATGTATTGTTTCACCTTTGAGATGCAACGCCTTTATATACTATTCTTTTGACCAGTCAAAATAAAATTTTCTTATATTTCATACAAGAAAAATAAAAATGGAAATTAAAAACCACGCATGTAGGAAAGAAAAATCGTCATTTGCTGGTCCGTGCGAAAACAAGACGAATGACATGCTCGAATTATAATGGTTATTTAAAAATAGATCTCGGCGCAGTGAATGTTGCGAGTTTAAATGGATCAAACAATATTTGGGAAAAAAAAAAAAAAAAAAAAAACAAAAGCAAAAACTCTCCATTTCGAAGTTTGGACATGGTGGGCGTTGCCACGTCGAGAAAGGGCTGTGCTGTTTGTTTCTTTTTCTAGAACAAAAAAAACCAATGCGTTTTTTTTTTTTTTTTTTTTTTTTAGCAAAATCGAAAAAAAGTGAGATGGAGGTTTAGTGGCTGGTCTGGTCTCGGGCAACGATCTTGGTATTACCATGGAAAGCAGACAAGTAAGGCTTACTAACCATCAATTTCCTTGTTCTCCTTTCCTACCTTCTGTGTGTACAATTGGAAGCTAATGCCTCATGCAAAATACATGGTCGTTTGGAGTCTAGACCGAAGTCACAATCTCTCAGGAAGGTTAATTATAACGTTGATAACAAAATAAAAAAGGCGTTTGCAGAGATCCGTGCAAGCCTGCAATGAAAGGCTTTAATAAAGTTCCAACGGCCGCAGTTCGCATTTGAATCCATGAGGACACCAAAAAGGCTTAGTAATGTGTATTTACCTGTTTGGAAGCTGCACAGGCACATAAGGAATATATTATCTAGCTATTCACAGGGATAGAAAAAATAAGGACAAGTATCCTTCTTAACCTTCTTAGCCATGTTAGCGTTGCTAGACCAAAGCCATAGGGGATTTTTGACATTAACAGAGTAGAAATAAAAAAGCGACAGGTAGAGAGACAGAGAGAAGGATATTTACTGATAGGCCAAAGAGCTGATACACCAATAGCGTTAATTGTTCCTTCGATAAGGAAAGACAACAAAACGAAAAATAGGTGCCTGGACATTATGAAGCTTCCATTCATGCGCGCAATCTCTTTTTTTTTTTTTTTTTTTTTTTTTGGCAGTTGCAAATAGATATGAATTGTTGTTGCCGCATGACACAATGCTTAAACATAGGTAAGACAAGACAACCCAAGTATGGCAAGATTACTAACAGTAAAAAAAAATAAAGTTAAAGAGAAGTTTAACAGATCGCTAGGACTTGGCGTAGAATTGAGCTGGCGGTAGTTTGGTTCTTCAGGATGGCTACCAACCGCGCTTTTTAAACCTATAAATATGCAGTCTCCTACCCTTCATTTCTACTCTCTTCATCTTCAGCAACCCTCATCTTCAACAATCCCTACCTTCTCTTCATAAAAACCAAGGCCATCCATATAAAATACACGCAACCACTTTCTCTTACAAAAAAAAAAGAAAAATAAAACAAACAATCCATCATGAAGGTTACCGCCATCATTTTTGCTGCCATTGCACTGGTTCCTCTCGCCTTGGCTGCCCCCACAGCCGATGGTAAATCCACGTGCCGTGTCCGAGTATCCAGTGCGAACACTAGCAGGGCGTCCAGATGTTGCTCTAAGTACGATGGTAATGCTAATACCCAAGGCAGGGTCGTCCATTGTACCTTACCCATCCGCCAAGAGGGCTACTACCGTAAGTGCCTCAGAGATAGAGGTATCTCCAGCACCGTCTATTGCGAGTATGACGATGACGATGACAATCGCCGTGGCCATGGTGATGGTGATGGCGATGGTGACGGTGACGGTGATGGTGATGACGACGGTGATGGTCATGGTGGTGATGACGGTGGTGATGGTCATGGCGGTGATGACGGTGGCGACGGTGGTGACCACGGCGATGATTGAGAAGGGAAAGAAACGAAAATTGAACGAAACAATACTTTTTGAAGCATATATGAATAAAATATGGCTATAGCCTCTATTGCTCTTTATCTTCTTTAATCAATGCAAAAAGTTCTTTTGGAAAAATGGTAGACCTTGATATGCTTCCGATACTACTTTTGAAGTAACCCTAGTAATGCAAAAATATAGGAAATTAAAGACAGAAAAGATTAGTTACAATAAAAATGATAGTAAGATTATTTCGTTTCTGCTCCTCTTTGAATTCATTTTTATTGCAACAGGCCAAATATCAATAACTATTAAGCAACATCAACTTGCTTGCGCAGCAGCTCTAACTGGATTGTGATAACAATGAGAAATGGAAGTCTTCAGTGCCAGTATGCTTTGCAGCCCAATAGAGAAATACATGAACTATGCAATAAATGGAGAAAGAAAGACTGTAGGTTGTGCAAACGTTACCGCTTTTGTTTTTTGTTTTCTTTTGATTTTTTTTTCCTTCCTGAGAACAAATTTCAGTATAGATGTGGACATGGTTTTGTACCTGTTGTCCTTTTAAGAAAGTTCATTTATCCAGGCATAAGCATATATGCTCACGACATTAACAGCAACAACAGCATCATTCAGAAAAAAAAAAAAAAAAAAAAAAAAAAGTATACTTTTCAATAATGTCCATCCTTTGCTCCCACAAAGCATACAAAGCATTCCTTTTCCACTTGAGGGCAACCATCTGATAAACTTATGTATCTCTACACTACGCAGTGGTGTGTACTCCTCTGTAACTGCGCAGAGGGTAATAAGGTGGCAAAAATAGTGGATCGTATGTATTACAAATTACATATTACGAAATGTAAGGTTTTTTTTCCTTCTTTTGCCTTCACTTTCTATTATTGTTTTGTCATCATCCTCCTCATCTCTGAACGCCGCATAATGTAACAAAGCTTAAATATTCGTTCTTCTCTCAACCGAATTGGTTATTTGCCATCAGAACTTTATTTTTGAGCTTAAAAATGACGAGAAATGGGATCAACTGCGCAATCAAAAAACAAAAAAATTATAAATAGGGGTCTTTTTCCCATGCAATTTCTTTTTTAAACATCACATATATATATTATATCCTAACTCCATCTGTCTTCTCTCCCTCAATCTTCTTTTAGCTCTCCCCCTTTTTTCTTTTCCTTCTTTCCCAAAATGAACTCTACAGCATCCTTTGTATGTGTGACTTGTGGCACAAACACTCCTTCCGATGTTTCTGGTGCTCCTCTCAAAACCTGCATCATCTGTGATGAACCTCGGCAATACATCCGTGCAGGTGGACAGGAATGGACTACACTTGATGAGCTCAAGGCTAGCAAGAAATACAAGAATGTCTTCACTCCTACTGAAGCTGATCCGGAGCACATGATCTCTATAGCTACCACTCCCCAATATGCAATCGGTCAACGAGGCATCCTCATCCGAACTCCAAAGGGTAATGTCCTTTGGGACTGTATCACTTACATTGATCAAGAGACTATCGCCAAGGTCAAGGAACTAGGTGGGCTTAAGGCTATCATCATCTCTCACCCACATTACTACTCTTCCCTCAAGGAGTGGAGCGAAGCCTTTGGTGGGATTCCTGTCTATACTCACATAAACGACCAAAAATGGGTCCAACGTCCTGCAGAAAACCACATCTTCTGGGAAGGCACAACTCTTCAATTGTTGGACAATGAGATTACAGTGATGTGCCCTGGAGGCCATTTTGACGGATCAGCACTATTGCTCTGGAACAAGAATTTGTTGGTCGCGGATACGATGATGGTGGCTGCGTCTCGTAAATCAGTCTCATTCATGTACAGCTTCCCGAACTATTGGCCATTAGGACCACAGGAAGTGAAGACTATCTGGAAGACAGTCCGACCATTTGAATTTGATAACTTGTTAGGGGCATGGGTTGGTAAAGAGGTTATTGGACATGGACGCAGTATTGTTTACGAGAGTGCAAAACTCTATACGAAATACAGTGGGCATGACGCTTCCAAGTTTTACGGGGCAGACGAGGAGGAGCTCGCATTCAACTAAAAGGAATTGAAATAAATAAATAAACAGATAAAAAAAAAAAACTATATATAACTATATATTTATTTATATACTCTTGCATAGGAGACTGGAATGCGCCGTGTGTGTACGAAATACGTGGGAATTTTTTTTTTTTTTGCTTAATGAGATCATTTGAATATCCAGTTCACATGTGGAAAAAAAATTTTTAGGTTTGTAGCGCCACCATGGCCACATTGTCGGGAAAAATGAAAAAAAAAAAAAAGTGGCGCTATGTTGTTTCAAAGAGTTTTTATTTTTACTTTTATTGCACCTTTTTTTTTTTTTTATAGAATATAAAGACACATCGAGGTTTGGTCGGTGTAGCTTGTCATCCATAAATAGCCCCACTTTTATCATCCCTTCTCTCTTTTTTTTTTTCTTTCTTTCTTCTTTTCATTCTCAAAACCACGCACACCGTCTTTCCATATTCCTTCCCCATCTCTTCCTTACTTGCTTCCCATTTAAGCAACAAAACCAACTTAAAAAAAGAAAAAAGAAAAAAGAATAAACCAATTTCATCATGAAGAACTTGTTTTTCCTTTTGTCTGCTGTCGCTGTTCTCTTGTCCCCCGCTTTGGCTGACGATGTCAACTCCGAGTGTGTAGTCCATGCATTCAAGCCTTCGTGGTCCGCGATTAAAGAGTGCTGCCTATCGAACATGGGAGGATCCGATTTCCGGCGCAATAAATTGTTCTGCAAATTACCCACCGGTAATGAAGGTTATTTCCGCAGATGTGTCAAGAAACTTGGCTATGCTTCTACCGTCGATTGCGTTTACTAAACAAAACTAAACAAAGCAAAACAAAAAGAAAAATCCTTCGTTAATAAGGATAGTAAAAAAAAAAAAAAAAGAGGAAAAAAAAAAAACCTCAATCAATAAATCAATAGTATATACGTAAATATTTGCAATTCACTCTCTATGATCATTATTATGATAAGAATGGCCCTGAAGGTCGACTTTTTTTTTATTTTTTACCCTGTGGTTGAATTTGCCTTTGCAAAGTGTCTCACAAAACGTGTAGCACATGCAAGCGGTGGATTTTTTTTTAAAAGCGTCTAGGCGTGCTGGGCGTAAAAAAAAAACTATCGTGTCAAATTTTACTACAAATACTTTGTCTTTATATTTTACTATTTACTTCTTGATTTACTAATTTATTTTTATGTTATACTTTTTTATTTTTATTGCTCTATGGTTTATTTCAATGTTTTTACTATTTTATTTAAATGGTTTACAAAGTGTATGTGTTTTATTATACATTGTAGCTACATTCTGTCATGTCATAGTTCACTCCTCTTTTCCTATGGTCATCCACTTCATTGTACCAGCATTTGATCTGGAACCGTGTCAAAGCGTACTGGATTTGCTCATCCCATCTAATTGTAACCCCGCATTCCCTTGCCAACATCTCACTCCTGTACAAGATGGCGAAACAGTCTTTGAGATATTGTTTCAGCAACTCCAAATCCTCAAAGATATCTCGAAAAGAATAATCCAATACCTGGGACATCCTAGCTCCAGCTCTAACACCGGCTCCAGTTCCAGATCCTTCATTTAGTTTTTTAATAAAAGGGACATGCATCGCAATCTGTGAATCGCCATCACAAGTCGATACCAACTCTGTACGTAGTCTTTTGTATCCTCCTATCCCCTGATACTTCTCCTTCTGGCACAGCTCTGGGAACTCTGCCAACACATTGATATAGACATACGCATTCATAGCATAGTCAATCACTCGATCCCATCCAAAGCTATGTCCCCAAGAGAGAAAATACAGTTGTTTCAATGGAATCTGAGGATGCTGTGCCAATCCCAACAGAGCCTCCATCTGGTTCTCAATCATCAGGTACTTGACTGCGGTCGCCAGATCCAAGTGGTTGCTTGAATAGGAATATTCCTTGGCGTTTGGTGATGGATGCGCATGCTCACATCGAGCTTGTTGAATCCAATATTCAATCTTTTGATTCTCTTCATTCAAATAAGGTGCATAGAAACCACGCGAGTCACAAAATGCTTGATTCTTAGCCAGAAGCTCGTCTGAGAACAACTTCCCAGATGTTTGATCTGAGATTGGGAGACGACCTGCAGGTGGATATTTCTGACGTTCCGTTGTTGCAAACTCATGGATCGTTTTAGTCAGAGAATCTGTAAAATAGTGAAAGGTCTTTGCAGATTTGGCTTGTTTAGGATAATCGCGTGGGATAAAATCGGGAACGGGTTCCTGTGTTCGAGGATCCACGGATTGAGTGAGCTTGAGATGGCTGGCGAGGGACTTCCATGGGACATTATGATCTTGGTGCATCCTATCTTGGTTATTTATACTTGTTTGAAATAAAGAAAGGTGATGAGGAAAGTAAAGGTCGGGAAAAAGGACGAGAGGCTATCTGGTATAAAAAAAAGGAGGATTGAAGGATTGTCTTTTCTTTCTTTTATTTATCTCTATCGAAGGCTGCGGCGACCACCACGTGCACAACTGCGGCATATATTTTCAATTAAAATAAAGTTTCTTGCATTTTTTGTTTTTATTTATAGTTTTATTGGCAATTGACGCTTCCCTTCGCAGGCATTATCCTGATCAGGTAGTGAGGGTATTTCTCAGCCCGTGTCACCCATTTTTCATGCTGAGGATTTAACTCCTCTGCAGAGAAACAAACAACGGAGCACCCCTAGCGCCAACTCCCTTTTTTGTTTACTAAAATAAAGAAGAAAATAAAAAAGGATTGTTCGTCGGTCCCCCCAATAGCAACCAGTAGGATTGTGAATTGTGACATGGCAAAGTAAAAAAGTAAAAAAAATATGTTGCCTCGCCACGCCAATAGATCCATATAAAAAAGGAACATTTGTAATGATGTTCATATTTATTAGGATCCATCAACGTGGCAAGGGTAATTAGAAAATAAAATGGTGAGTAAAATGACATAAACAAGCATTTGGGCATTTGAACAAAAACTTAAATGTGAAAAGATGAGTTCCTTACCAGACTTTTTTTAAAAAGAAAAAAAAAAAAAAAAAAAAGTCACAAGGACCATTTTTAGGCTTGAATAGACACAGCGGAGGCTGTCAACGAGACATAGTTGGAACAACCACACTTGGCTAAAACACCCGTATCGACTACAGGGTTAACAAAACCTGGAGCTGATTCAGGCTCCAAGGTCCAAGTCAGGAAGTCATTGGTCTGGTTCTGAACAAAGGCCTCATCCACAATCTCAAGGCGCTTGCAGTACTTGGTCACCTTATCCCAGTCGCGTTGAACGTTTTTGAGATCACGAGACATGTAACGGAACGAACGCTGGAAGATCTTTCGGTTGACCTCACTGTCCATATGAGGCTTCATCTCTACAAAGAGCTCATAAGCCTCCGCAGGTTGAGCAAACATGTAATCTGTCGCGCGCTTGACAGCTTTCATAAACGCAGCCACCTTTTTGGGATTGTTCTGGATGAAGGTCTCGTTGCCAATCAACAGAATCTGATTTGTAAAGGAAATATGAGAGAGAGAGAGAGAGAGAGAGAGAGAAAAAAAAAAGAAAAAAAAAAGAAAAAAAAAAAAACAACTTAAGTATGCCGCATGAGAGGAAAGGCAAATACTGGAATTGAATTGAGAATAGGAAGCTTAGCTTACCGAGCAGAAGCAGCAGCATCCGAGGTTAGCGAGCTCATCAATACGCAACATACGGACATCGTCACGAGTGCGACCTTGTTTGATCGACCATTCTTCCAACTCGACCATCTGCACATTCTCAAGACCAATACCTGCATCGATCTCTCCACGGATGATCGCGCCAGTGACGTTCATGCCCACACGGACAGCCGTGTAATCCGCAGGTGTCATACCATAATGGCGAGTCAACTCATCCAACTGGATCTTTCCAAATTCACCCACGTATCCGATCTTCTTTCCACGAAGGGTTTGGAAATCAGTGGTGATTCCGCTTTGAGAGGCCAAGTAGACCACACCCGTGGGAGGCTCATCCAAGATCGTGCCAATGGACTTGATAGGGAATCCACGGGCCTTACCAGCAATGGTATGGATCATAGCTTTGCAGCCGAGATCAACTTTTCCAGAGCCGATGATCTCGGTGACATCCGAGGGGTTGTTAGGTTCCAGGATTGCAACCTTGATTCCTTCCTCTGTGAAGTAGTTGAGCTTCTCAGCAAGGAAGAGGGGCAGATGGTATGGGGTAGCGTGCCAGTTCAAAAGGCAAGTGATCTTGTCAGTAGACATGGCGAAATGGGAAATGTTTTTTTTTTTGGGATAGATAAGATTATTGAAAAAAAAAAGAAGTTTCCTTTACAGTCGTGTGGAGAGTAGTGTTGATGAAGGAAAAGACAGCGAACAAGAAAAAGAATAAATGTGTTTTTTGATGGAGGTATTAATGTTTTTTTCTCACACACTGAATGCCAATTGTTGGGATCTTTCCTCTGTTCCCACGATTGAAATTTTTATTTTATTCCTGATAAGAGTCACAGATGCATATGCATTTCGAGACATTCATTTGCATCGTAATTGCCCAAACATCATTCCCTTGCCGCTCTGTTATTGTACGACATCATCTTGCTAAACAAGCAATATTTATTATACAGCTATACAGCGTATTAATTGTTACATCCATTTAAAAACGTTTTATCCTTTAAGCCCATTTTCAATTTGGACAGAAATAAGTTGTATCCGATATAAGCTAACATGGTTATCCTAAAAGTTATCCTATTCCCAAACGTTGATAATCGAATCGATCATGTCTTTTACATGTCCCACAATATCCCATGGTTAATTCCGCATGGCCACCTGCAGAATTTGCAAACGTTCGCCGTCCTTTTCAATTAGCTTTTTAACTTACCTTTGGACAATTTTTTTTTTATTCATTGGAATAATGTAAAAAGAAAACAGATAAAGCTTATTCTAAAGCAGATAAAACAATTAAAAACGCTGTATTACACATGAGTCACCGGATCATTCTATGCTCTTCTCTTCCATTTGGCGTTTATAACTATTGCCTTAATAAACCTTTCGTAATTAATAACGGACTAACCAAAAAGTGGCATCCGTATGAGTCCCTGATATAAACTGTCCATCAGATAGTTATGAGTGAATGGGGGAATGCGTATGGAATATATTTAAGCAAGAGGCATTGAGTCAATGGTGAATGGAGCAAATGTGTAAATTTGCGCCAATTAAAAGGCAGTCATGATCAAAATAATAGGGAAGGCGTCAGTTTATGCAAAAAAGCTGATCAATTACAGCTTAGCACAGACGTTTTTTTTCCTTTCAAATAGGGACATCTGTTACTCTCTTTTACTTGTTGCAACGTGAGTGAAAGGCCTTTTTTTTTTTTTTTTTTTTTTTTTTTTTTTTTTTTTTTAAAAAAAACTTTCATTGAAAGGCCGCCATTTCTACATGCTAAGTAAATATATATCTATACTACCTCTCTATCGGTGAACAATAATCATTAACTCACGAACGCATGGGCACAGGTCAACGTCAGCTCCAGAAGACCATACCTTCAGCTAAAAATACATCTCAAATATTGTGTCCGTACAAGAGCACGCAAATATTACTACAGGATGTTTATGTTAATGAAAAAATAGATATCTAAGAGATACCTCATACCAAGTTATCCATAAGACTTTTATTGTAAAACGAAACAAAGGAAAGGACATGCTCACTCCTCTCATAATGCCGATCAGTGCCATCAATATCATCATATGAGCCGCTTGGAATAAAGTGTGTACCTTCAAACTCTTCATTACATTTGCTACAAATAAATTAATACCCCTTGACTCCTTCACTTAGTGATCTGTCTTTTTTGGCTTCGTATCAAAATATCGCTGTTCTCAACGTTAGATTCGAATGGCGTAGATGACTCTGTCATGCTCTCATGATTTACTTCTTGAAAAGTCGGACGCTGTGTTGGATCACCAACAGCTCCATGTTGTTCCAGAATCTTTCTGTTGCTTTCACTCAAATCAGCTACATCTTGAATGCTTGCATTGAGAGCGTAAAGAGCTTTTTGCCCTGTGCTCCACTTCAGATGGATATGGCATTGGCCATCTTCTTCTTTGACAATCTGCCACATACGAACACAACCATCACTATATCCTGCCACCAGAAAATAATCTTCTTTGGAAACACCCCATTCAAGAGCCTGAATATATCCGCCTGCAAATGGAATATCAGCCAAGCACTGGGCTGATTCTGAGTCCCACAGTCGTGCCGCCCTGTCCTTACTAGCTGAGGCAATGTACTGGCCATCGCAAGAATAAGATATGGCGACTATATTGTCGGTGTGCCCTTGAAGCGTATGCAACACAGTCCGATGGCATCATGTAATGTAAATGAGCTTTCTCAAGAAATGTCATCTTGTCGACCTCTTGACTCCGAATAGCTCCATTAATTTTTTTTTTTTTAAGGTACGAGCCGAAAAGAATCAAATACCGCCCTGGATGCGTTATTGAGGTTATTTACAAGCAACCACTCTCTGAATCCTTGAATGAAATTGTCGAAGACCTGGGTATCAAGGACGAAGAATTCTCTTCAGGACATATTCCTTCTGCGCCACCTCGTTTTGGTCCTCCCACAAGAAAACTCACTTTTCAAGTCAAGCAAGATATGACGTCTCTGATGAATACACTCATTGAAACTGTAGTTGAAAAAAACCGCCAAGGAAAGGCTTTAGATACATCGATGATTCAGTCTCTCATAGAATCAAATCTTCCTGCCGATTATGGACACCTCAGGAGCAATCCTGCGGTTACTCGTTCCGCACAAGCAGGTAGACCTATAAATTCCGGATTTGAGAATGCAGTTATGCGCAAGTTGGATGGGATTCAAGCGCTTGCTATTGAGATTTTTGAGCTCCAAAGACAGATGAATGATCGGCTGATTCTGATTGACCGCAAGACGGAGGCTATCTTGACCATGAACTACGAATTGCTTGAGTATACTATCCCGAGATTGTTTATCGTATTACCAGATTACACAAGTGACACAAGTGATTGGGACCCAGCCAACAAACTACGCACCAGATTTCGCTTGCATTTTATTTGCGAGTGTGGAGAGCACACTCAAGTACCTGGTAACAAAGATCCGCCGCACTACCCTCACCTTGCTCGTCATGAAGGATACATCATCAACAGACCGACAGAATTCTTTAAAAAGTATGGGCCTTACGTGCTGGTGATGCTCGAGATGCTTAAGGCGGGAACAACATTTGGGGGATGTGTGCTGCCAGCGCTAAGCAGTTTAAAAATCGTAGAAACTCTCAGTATTGCACAGCTCGGTATCAACTCGATCAATCTCAAAACCATCGAAGGGGTTGACTACTCTCTGGCATTTCTGGAAGAAAATCGCACTCGATACCGAAAGTTAGGTCTAGAAGATTTGCATACGAGAAACCTAGCAGCTGAAAGTACATCGCGTTATGAGCTCGCTGCATATTTGGCCGGAGTTGATGGAGCAGAAGGAGTGGACTTGCGGCAGCTGAGCTCTTATTTGGCAATGAATGATACAGGGAACTTGTATGGGAATTTGTTTCGTGTTGTAGCCGAAAATGGTCATGTCAAATGGGTTTGTCGCGAACACTTCGACACTATGCAGGAACAGTCCTGCATCCGAAAAGTCAACGAGGCGATTAAAACAGGTGTATTTGATGTCCAACTTGGTAGAATTGAAATGTCTTTAAAATCCGCGATTGAAGCTTTAGAGATCTATCAAGCCATTGGTAAAATCAAGAGACTTCACGAACTTGATTTAATATTGCAATGGGACCAAGAATATTTACACCTTGTCAGACTGAAGGATGCAATCTCGAAAGCGAAAATCAAGGCGGTCAAATTGACCTTGCTACAATCATCAAAAGCGTCGGATACCAACATCGAAAGGCCTAATCAACAATTATATAACCCTCTTTTCGAGATTATGCAGCTCTCTTCTACCCAATCTTTTGAAATCAACCAAGTCCCCAAGGATTTCCTTAAACAGTCCAGTCCGATGGAGGTCGATTTGCCGCATTTGAAGCATTTAAGCATTATTGGTTCATGGGCAGTGGATAGGAAAAGGAGAAGACAAGATATGGACAAAGATATTGAAAAACTTAAAGCGCTGGTCAAAAATGCAACAAAGCTCTCTAGCTTATCCTTAAACGTATCAATTGAACGATTACCTAAAGTCTTCAATGCGCTTTCTCAATATCAGTCCTGCCTCGTTAATTTTGTCAACCTTGGCCTCCGTGTGTTGCCATCAATGAACGACGAATGTATTCAAAATAGTACTACTATCTTAGATCTTACACAACTGTTTCAGCTACATGGTGCGCAGTTGGAGACACTGGATCTTCGTAATCTTCGACTGGAAGGTGTTGTGGTGGAGGCTATAGTCAAGGCGACAGAGAGGGTTTCGAGGCTGAAGGAGCTGTACTGGCCCAACCGGAGCCAGTACCTTGACGACCAATATATCAAGAACCTCGTTACAATTGCTGTTCAGTCCGATTGACGTCTTTTGCATATTGAAATGAATAATGTTGACACACAGGTACGATTACTGCAGTCGATTCCATGGAAGCGTATGCGCGAATTAAGGATTGAGGATGTTAATGATGGCTTCATGCCTGCTGACGTTTGGAAGGCAATAAGGACTGAGAAAACTATGCTGACGGCATTAATAAATGGTATGAAGGGAGCAGCAGAGAGGCCTGAATTGAAATGCTTTAGGTATACTGCAAAGAAGCTCTATGCGGATGGGCGACGATTACTTGGTCATATCCTTTCCATGGTATCATTCAAACGCCTTGATTTAAGGATGGGATTGACTTGCGATCAGGTAGTTGAACTATTCCGCTCGATGGACAATCCACATGTGCAACATATTGTGCTACAGACGGAAGGCTGGAGCAAAAGCAACGTTCAGGCCGTCTTAGATACCCTTCTTCAACGTTTCACAAAGCTACAGTCAATCGTTTTGGGAGGCGCAGACATTACCAAGGAACAGGAAGAACAACTTCATTCCAAAGGGATTACGCTTGATGATGAATTACCAAGTGGCCACTCAATACAGAATATAAAAGATTTGATGGGCTGCGTCGTTGTAGAGGTGGATAGGTACTTGTCCATAAAGTCCCAAGTTGACTAGTCTGTAACATACAATGCCTGTATATCAAAAACCGCACATATGCTAGCTAGAAAGAAAAATTTTGGCGAGATCAGCTCAAACAGAGATGTAGCCCTCACTCGATATTTAAGAAATAGAGAACAAATTATGTAATGTTCCTAGGGGATGTTGACTTAGGGAAAATGAATAGATATTATTACTATTATTAAGATAGTACGGTTGTATATGTCGAGCATTATCATTAGTATCTGATACTGTCTATCCTTATCAAAGATATTGAAAGTATCGAGGCTTATAGAAGCTGGAAGGAAGAAATTATTTTATTTTATCGGCTATATGGAATAGAGCTATAGGCCATGGACTGCAATGTGTAAACTTAAGCGCCAAGCTTTAACTGGCTAAGCAATCGGGAAGTTTGACCTTCAGTTTCTTATCAATTGTCAACAGGCCCCAGAAGCCCTCGACTGCAGAACCAGGCCAAACCTTCCAAGGAGCATCAAAGAATTCAAAGTAATAATACGGAAGCTGTTTTGCATTCGCATCACAGAGCCATGTGTCAATAAATGTCTGCAGGTTAGGGATCGATGGGATGGATGCATTGGTGTTACTGCTTCCTGGGAATGTAGGCCAGCCCACTTCAGTGATCCAAATATCCAATGGATTGGCATTGCCCTGGCTCACAGCCGGCTTAACAGACTGCTCTAGGTATTTCCAGAACCATGAAGCAGCCTCTGAAACAGGTGCGCCTGAAAAGAATGGATGTAAATTGACGCCGGCTTTATCCTCATGGTTCGTCAACGGAGGCTTGTTCGCGCTCTCGAGATCTGAAGTGAAAACAGGGATCTCAGGATGGCCCGATGCCACGACCTGGCTCTTCACTTGTTGAATATGAGCCAATAAAACATCCATGGGTTGATAGTTATCAAAGATGACCTCGTTACCGACCGAGACCCCAATCACGTTCGACCAACCGTACTCCTTCATCACTGCAAAAAACTCGGCGGATTGACGGGTGAAAGTTGCACTGTCCTTATCGATCCAGATACCGACAACGACTTTCAAGTCTAATTTGAGACGTTGAATCGCATCGATTGTATACCTGAGTACATTGCAATCTGTTCCGTAAAGACGCACACGCTTAGTTGTCTGCACAAGAAGCTGGAGCTCCTCATCCACAGTCTGTTGAGTGTTGTAGCAGTTAGGAAGCTGAGCGTTCAATGGAACGTAGGCCATGCCATAAAATACGCGTTTCAACTGTTGGACTGTGTTAGGAACAACTGTACCGTCAGGCTTGGTCACTACAGGTGTCATTTTAGGGTGTTGAAAAAAAAAAAAAAAAAAAAAAAAAAAAGCAAGTTTAGTTAGTAGGGCAAGAGGTTGATGTGGTGGAGCTCATGCAGGCGCTATTCATATTGGTATAGTGGATAGGAACATTAGTATACCTGTGTTCCCTTGAGCATGACCACTGCCTCCTTTGCTAGACTTATTGTCCTGATTCTTCTTGTGGACTGCAAAATACCAAGCCAAGACTGCAGCGGCAGCGATCAAGAGTAGAGCAATGGTACCCAAGACGACCACTTTGCACTTGCGAGACCTCTTTTTCTTGGCAGACGAGCCTCGCCGTGCCTTTGCTAGAGTATCAGCGCCAGCACCAACACCAGCACCGGCGGTAGAAAGTTCAGCATGGCGTCTGCGCTCCTGTTGTCGATGTTGTTGAGGCGTCATGTTGGTCGCATAGGTCTCATCATGTTGTGGGTGCGGTGTCATGATTTTAGGATAAAATAAAAAAAGGCGCACAACGTGCTTGTGTGTCTGATATTAGATATTAGATTAAAGAAATAAATATGGATGAACGTGCGTTAGAGGGACAACTTGGATTAGAGAAGAGAAGACTGAAGAGATATGGATGTAAAGTATGATTAAAGTGCTTAGGTATCTAGCAATAGAAGGAAAGAGGTGGGAAGAGGCAAGAATGGAGCAGACCAATTGACATGGACAAGGGTGAATGAGACTCTTCATTGCGATGAGAGAATGATGACAGCGATGGGAGTACAGACAATTACACTGTTTTTCAAGAGAAGAAACATTATTGAATGTTTTAATTATTTCAGGCACCGTTTGAATCAATTGAATTAAGCAATAGGATAATGATTGTTCCTGCATCGTCATTCGCTGGATTTTATTTCGATGACAGAATTATCTAAAGTTTAAATGTCTTTAATTCTTTACAAGCCAATTGAGATTAAGCCATGCCATGGTCAACTCTGTACATGTATATATAATTATTATCATTATTCTGTAGCAATCAATTTGCTTTTTGATCCTTTAATGGTTCCTTAGCCTTACACGAATATCGCTTGTATTACAAAAATGAATATTATTTATTACTTTTTCTTTTTTTCTTTTTCTTTTTTGTTACAAAACAAGTGAAGAGAAGAAATAGTCCACTGCCTATTCGTTGCTGGCCTTTCATACTCTATGAGTATAGGCATCGTCTTCATCACTATCCCTGGCTTCATAGGCCTTGTATCCATATTCTTTTATATCCCCACTCAGAATACCACGTCGACTTTCATTTCCTGATCCCGAGCTTAACTTCGACATCATATTCAGATCCTCAAACTGTGATGACATGGATGACATTGAAAAAACTGGTGAATCCAATGATGACTCAAAGAATGAACTCTCTCGTTGATATTGATCATGTGGAGAAAAGATCTTGTATCTAGACGAGTAAAAAAAAAAAGTGGTCAAAGGAAGGAGAAAAGTATAGAATTGTTAATTGAGATTATTTACATAGTTCCGCATCCTATATGTTTCTCATAACCATCGGGCTAACCAAGGCCAGTACATGATAAAGAGAAGTAAACAAAAAGACTGAACACAATTTCAAAGCATACTTTGTAAAAAGATCTTCGAGTTCACTATCATCAAAATCCTCGCTGAGCTCATGAGTGATCATAACCAAGTTGGCGATCAAATCACCTGCTCGGTAGGCAAGAACTGTCGGAGAGACTTCCTCGTCAAAATCAACTTCACGCGCCTTAATCCTTATAAATTTCGTCGTCGCATACCGTGCTGCCAACTGAATCAGGCATCCATCCAGTTTTTTGCATGCAGGATTATACTAACGTAAAGAGACGCAAAAAAAAAAAAAAAAAAAAAAAAAAGACGAAGGTGTTAGTGCTGTAGCTGCAGTACTCTTATCAAAAGAACATTCAAGAGTATAAGAATGTTAAATCATGGAGAAGAGATGGTTTACCTCGCTGTAAATATGAATGACAACTGTGACATCTTTGCTTTCCATGTCAATCGCATTCACATATTGCGCTGCATTCATCTCCATCAACGATCCAAAGACTCTCTTCTTCCTAACTGAACTAGCTCCAGTCCCTGACTTGTCGGCTTTTGCAGCCCAGCTCATGTCCTGAAGCCGACTCCCTCGAATCCTTTCCAGAACGGCTTTCTCATCTTGATCCTCTTCTTCTAGTTCTCGTAATGCCTTTTCGTCCTCATCCTCTTCGTCTTCATCCAATAGTCCCTGTGCCTTCTTTTCTTGTCGTTCTCGTTCTTTGTCCTGACGATACGTTGTTGTCATTGGTGCCTTGGACAACATCCGCGCATTATAACTCTGTTGAGACGAAAGTCGTTTCTGCAACTGTTGTTGATGGTGGTATTTTTGGTCCGCGATAACTCCTTTAGGTCCTGTATTGGCACCAGTATCGCGTTCTGGGTATTTATTGGCGCCTGCTCCTACTCCTGCTCCTCCTTTACCACCTGTTCTTGCTGACGATCCGATACGGCTTGAAGTCTTGCCATCTATTCGATCGATTTCTCCGTCTGTGAGTCCTCCTGTTTCAAGATCATCGTTATTGTTATAGTCATCTTTTGGGCGTGTGAATCGTAATTCGGATTCGGATTCTTCAGATTCAGATGCAGTTGAGCCCCAGTCTTCTGGATCATTATTGTCGTACAAGTACTGAGCTCTTGTTTCAGCTCGATGGTCTCGTGGTGCATTACTATTGGTTTCTGGGTCTGGCTCAATGTCCAGTCCCATCCTCTTGGCCTCTTCCATGACTAATCGATGTGATGTAAGTTAAGGTTGAAATGGACAAAGATGAGAATTTGCAGTCGTTTACAGGAGAGAGAATGTGGAATGAGTTGGTGAGGAAAGAAAAGAAAAGAAGAAAAGAGGGGGTGCTCACATGGCAAGAAAAGAAAAAGAAAAAGAAAAAAGAGAAATGGCCTGTGAGGTTTGTGGAAAAGATACATTTGATGCATCGATCCAATTCGTTCATTGGATAGCTTGTCAAATGCATAGCAAACATGGTCCTTGTTTTAAGGTTCAGATTGTCGTCTTCTTGAGAAGCTCATTCGAAAGGTCAAAGGACTAGTGCTGTCTTTTCCTGGATAACAATCGTCTATTCTCTCTCATTATCATGACTACTCCTCTTCACACAAATACATTTCGCTACGGATAGCTCATTTTCATCCGTGCTGGATCTGTCAAAATGCTAGTCTCACTGATCATGAAAAAATGTGCTTGTCATGTTGATTAGTGAAGGTAGAGTTCGTGTATGAAAGACATTAGCTGGATTAGCAACACACTCGTTTGTTTGAATGCTGGAAATAAGGGTCTCAATCATCTTTGGAATCCATTCAGCAGGTACAAAGATAAAGATGTTACGATAGAAGGTGATACACCCCTCAGGTCAGCAGAGAACCGGGACGGTGGATGTTAAGAGAGGCACGCAACTGGCACCCTTAAGGAGCCAAGGAACCGTCATCTCCCCAGATTGGCTTAGCTCGAGGAGTAGAACGATTGAAACTATTACTCAAGAAGCTGGAAGCAGTGAAGGAGGTACATGGGGTGAGCATCCATCGTAAAGCCTTTTGTTAATTTTAAATTTTTAATGTTTGCTTGACTTTAACAGCATTATTTCCATTACATCATTTCATTTTATTCGCACGCTTCGCTTCCGTTCTTTTTTACTCATTCACTTCTCTTCTTGAACCTGTTTGAATCTTCCCTTTTCGCTCGTAATTATTAATCCACCTCATCCATCATGGGGACTTTCATCACTGACAGATTACATCAATTGAACAGTGATCTCATTCAGTTGTTTCACCTCGACCATCAACCACCATTACATTTCCGAGACCGACAAAATGAGTCCGGTCAACGAGCTGACTCTCCCGCAAACAGAGCAGTTAGTCCCCAAAAATCAATAGCTATGGGCAAGGACAAAGATAAGGGCGATAAACGCGGCAGCGATTCAGCAGCAGAATCATCCATCATCACCACAACTGAACAAACAGATCATGAACTTCTCTCAGGATTGCGTGCCTCCATTGACGCTCTTGATCTGCATTCCAATGCCGTTCCTTCTATGGAGCGTGTCTATCACGAAATTGAAAAGGTTGAAAAGTTGGCAAAGTCAACGACAACAACAACATCAATTGATCCATGTAACAATCGCGAAATTTCCAAGTTGGAGCATCTGTTTATTGCAAAGTGCACGATTTCGGTTTATCTCAACTTATTGGATATCATCCTGAACGCGACTCTGCCACTTGCAAACGAAATCCAGTACTGGCAGTCATTGATCGACAGTCGGTCATGGAGACTTTTGTATACTGTTCAAAGTAAGGATTTTAATTTTTTAGAGTGCGTGGGGATAACAATGCGGTGATGACAGCATGACACTTGACTTTATTCCTGACTAGCTTCAATTCAACTAAACCTTTTTATTTTATTTTTACTTTTATTTCCTTCGTCTTGTATAGCGTCACCTTACCGTGTCTTCGACTTTACAAGATCAGTCCTGGTTGCCACACGTGAACATCTCGATTCCTTGATCACAACTGCTCCACACAACGGTCAGTCAGATCAAGATAACCAAAAGAACCAGATCTTACAAATCTTCCGACACTTCCCTACATTCCTCAAATACCATCTCATCTCCCAACCAGTTTCCTTCCCAGTTGCGATCCGTTACGAGATCACAAACCATCGAAGGCAGCTCCAACGGATTCGAGAATATCAAGCTGAATGTTTGGGACTCCTATCGGAACAAGGATTGAACCTAGATCTTGAATTCTTTGAAGATTCAGTCTCAGTCTTATCGTCTCCAGGATCTGGATCGGCATCTGGATCTGAATCTGGGACAGACTCAAGATCAGCAGCAGTAGCTGGAGCGGGACAATCAGCAAAACAACAGCTGCAGGATGAAGGAAGAGGTGGAGAATCAACAGAGCAGGCAGAGATCTTTATTCGAGATCAAACCTCAAAGACCATCTGTCTCATGGAACGTGTCCTCAACAAAGCATATAAGGATATGAAACTCTTGACAGATTCACATCACCATCAACCGCAGCACCAGAGTAGTCATCATCATTCTCATTCTCATCCTCATCATCAGCAGTTAAAGTTACCGTCTGCCAAGAGAGCCACTCGCTCACTCACTATTTTGGGTCAGTTGCAAGGCATCCCTTCCTTGAGCCATAATGACACACTCCAACATCTCAAACAGCTAATTCAAATCGACATTCCTCAGTTTGTGCAACAGACCGAGACCCAAGCACGGCAATTCTATCGCCCCTCCTGGTTGACTAGGATCTGGATTCCAGCACTTGTAGGCTACTTTGGATTGAAATTCGGCCTTCAATATGTCACTGAACATCGTGCAGATCTGGACAGGTGGTTAGAAGAAGCTTGGGATACTGCAAAGAGATTTGTCACGGATTGGGTCTGGGAGCCCACTATGAGGATCATGGCCATCATTCGACACACTGATGAGCAAGGATCTCTACAGATGCTTGGGAACGAAAGTCTGAAATCCGATATTGCTAGCTTGGAGCGCATGGTTCTGGATTTTGGTAAACAAAATTATCATCTAGGTGGTCAAGAACTGGCCAGTTTGTCGCAGGCAGTTCATAATGGCGACATCTCCATGATCATGCGTGCATATGAACAAGAGCTCAAGACACCCTTTAAAGGAGCCATTGTTGGCAATTTAGTCCAGACATTATTGATTCAAGTCCAAAAAACTAAAGTAGATGTGGAGGTTGCGATGGCGGCATTGGACAAATTGCTTAAGGCTAATGAACTCAACTTTGCATTCTTGGCTGTGGGCCCTAGTTTGCTGCTCCTGTGGGCCGTGTCTGCACAGTCAAAAAAGGTTTGGCAGCGAATGGCAGGACGACACATGGGGGTTTTGTCGATTCAGATGAAGAATTCGATGAGACAAGTCGAGAGACTCTTGAACTTGGCCTCAGCTGAGGGTGAAGGACTCGACATCAAGCAGCCTAGGAAGCCACAGAGGAATTTCGATAGCAGTAACGCAGCAGCCGAACGTCGACCCAGCGAAAAGGGGGCGATCAAGAGATCGTCTTCTTCATCCTCTGAGGAGTTTGAGGATCTATCAGTTCTAGGTAATAACAACGTTGGTGGCAGTGCTGACGACTCTACACAGAGCATCACATCCGACAAATTGACGAGGATCCGAACCAAGGAAGGCAAAGTTCCTTACAAGACACAAGGTCTGATTCTTTGTGAGGTACATCTGCTGAGAACCTTCGCGGCGCGCCTAACTCGATCAGAAGGTTTGAGAGATAAAGTTATGGAAGACCTGCGAGAAATTGAAGAGAGCTCGTTGACAGTCCATCAGCGATTAAGGACTGCGCAGCGCATGTACAGAACTTATGGGTTCTTGGGACTTCATCAACAATAAGCCTTGCAATAAAACTAGATAGAAAAAGGAGCAGCAAGGGCGTAGTATTAAATAAATCAATCAATTGCTATATGGACTGCTCCTTTTCTGTGATATTGGCCAATGCTGCTATCATGAGCAGGGTTCATGATAAACAGCGCCAGAGCATATTTGCTATATCTATTACACTCGCTATAGGTGGACCGATGATGGCCATTGATGGCTGATCTGTTCACTCTTGATAACGAAGCATTTTTCTTGGATGTGATTTGTTAGTAAGATCGCACCAACAACCTTGGAAACAACGCACTCGTTGGCTCTAAACACCAATATTCATGACCCTTTCTATTTGATCAAGCTTAAAGACTTACTTTTTTTTTTATGATAGTTATAATTCAGCTATTGAATGAAAGATCCCAAAACGTCTAACATATAGTTATCAGAGCAAAGAACCTTGGAGTGAAATGTAAAGATTTCTGTGGCTGCCATAACGGATCAACAACTCTGAACTCATTCCTTTGTCTGGTCAAAATCTAGCGAGAGATACCATAGAAGGCTGAAGATTCCTTTCGCTCTCACCCAAAAAAAAAAAAAAAAAAAAAAAAAAAAAAAAGAAAAAAAAGAAAAAAGACAGCATCCTCACCAACTATATCCTTTATAGAAAGAATCTAGATCAGTAAATCCGAAGCGCTTTCTCTTCTCTTGAGTTACCTTGGCCCTAGGAAACCATTTCCTTTCAAAGAGCGAGAAAAAAAGGGTAATCTCAATTAGAGGAGCGTCAAATCCAGGCTATGTGTTCTCTTGGACATGATCATTGGGTCCAACACTCAGAGTCCTTGAATAAATATATAAATGCTAAGCCTCTGTATTTCTTTATTTTCATACAAGAGAGGTCCATAAAAAAAAAGAAAAAAAGAAAAAAAAAAAAAAAAAAAAAAAAAAAAAGTTCTATGGTACATAACGGAGACAAGGGAGGGGACTCAAAGAAAGAGAGCTCTGCAACCCCCACAAGTCGATTAGGTTAATATTCCTGATCCATTCGACAAAGAGATCCAAAGGTAAGGTAATGTAGTCAATTTAGAGTTGCTTCTGGAGACGGGCCAAATGATAATTGACAGTGTTGACCTTTTTCACTCTAGCAGGCTATCAAAATCGAGTTCAATGAGGAAAGCAGAATCAATAAAAGCATTAGTGACTACTTCCGACATCTCTTCTCTCCTATTGCCATACTTGATTGACTTCGTGATTCTTTATCCATTGACAAGTATTTATCCTCCAATGTTCTCCCCTGTGTGTTACTATTTTATTTCTTAGCCCAAAATTTATATGACAATTTGTTGATTTACGATTGGTCTATTGACACTGGTGATTATTCAAAGTCCAAGAGAATGTTGATAGCTTCTCTGTTCATAATCCCGTTTTTTTTTTCCAATACTGCTCGATCATGGATTTAAACGCTGGAGGTTTTCATTCCTGAATCCCATTTGAGGGGGATAATGCTGACAGTTTCAGAGATTCCTTCCCACTGAACCAACAGAGCTTTTTTCTTATTTTGGGCTACTATATGTTTGCTAGGTAAACTTACCAAGTTCTTCATACAATCTGCAAGCATCTTGGAGGCCTGCATACATTTGGCATCATCCACTCCTGAGGCAGTCCAGCACTGGATCATAGCACCCATCTCGGCGATACAGGGGCTGGCCTCAACCACTTTACGAGGCTTCGTGCGAAGATACTTCAGTCTCATGATTATTTATTGTTGTTGATCCTGTTTGAAGTTTAGCCCCATGTTGTTGATCGATCAGTTAGAGATCAGTTTGTTTTAACGAAATGAACAAATAAAATAAAAATAAAAATAAATAAATAAAATTCCAGTGTTAGCGCCAAGTTTAGTCTTCGCCATGTGGCCTCCAGAAAAGACGAATATTTGATGTCGATGATTTGTCTGGGCAACATGCCTTTTCGGATGTTTTTAGTTTTTAGTTGGACTAGAGATGAACGGAAGTGGGGGAAAAACAATAACAAGAACTTACCCTTCCTTTGTAAATAATGTGACTGCTGTCTGACCATAGGTAGCACAAAATAAGGTTTTAAACGCGTCTTCATATATCTATATACATTTATATTTATTATTCTTTTTTTCTTCCTTCTTCTTTCTTCTTTCATCTTTCTCTTCCTCTTTCTCTTCTTCCCATTCCTCTTCCTCTTCCTCCTCAACATCATTCAGCAATAATCACTTTTTTACCTCAGATCTATCCCCAACTTTTCCAAAAAAAAAAAAAAAAAACATGCTTTCTCGTAAATCCTTCGTTGTCCTTTTGGCCATGCTTGGTTTCTCGAATGCAGGTCCTCTTGCCTATGGAATCTGCCAAACAGGCTGCAATGCCCTTGTTGTAGCATGCTACGCAGGAGCGGGTTTTACTTTCGGAACAGTTACCGCGGGTGCTGGTCTCCCTGTTGCTATAGCAGCTTGTAATGCAGGGCTTGGAACATGCATGGTCGGCTGTGTTGCTGCTGGACTCACGCCAATCCCCTAGTCTTTCGGCGCAATAAAAAAAAAAAAAGAAATCATGAAATGCGATGAGCGTTTAAATAAGCCTTGGCTTACTATGCGCATCGCTTACCCTCTATTCTACAAAAAAAAAAAAAAAAAAAAAAAAAAGAAACAAAAGCTGTTTTCATTATGGGTTATTTCAAGTGAACGAAAACAATAAAGCTTTTTATTTTTTTGGGGTTGCAAACCTCATAGCTTTGTTAGAAAACCAGTTTGTTTTGCAATTGAAACCTTGTTCGATTCATTCTTCTGAACAGTACTTTTTATCTGTGTGCCCTGAAGGTTGTTTGGGAATGCTGTGGTCGGGTTTGACATGCTCAGTGCATTTCGGTATTACAGTTTATAGACACAGCCGACGAGCTTCAACTTGACCAACGAACAACACGCGAGGCTTTTTTTTTTTTTTTTTTTTTTTTTTTTTTTTTTTGGCTCTGTATATTTTGGAATTAGTATGATTCACTAGGTTCAACTGTGGTATAGTCACAGGCTTCTATAACGACTCTGTAAAAAAAAAAAAAAAAAAAAAAAAAGAATCAACTATTCAATCATACATCTATATGACCTGTAGTATTGTGGTTCATATCCTTTTTATTTTACTTTTTTCGGAGTAATTGAGGACAGGGTGCTTTGATTTCTGGAATCAGAACATTCAGCCACCTTTAAAAATAGTTTTCAATTGGCTCAGAACCATCATTGAAACTGTCGTCTGTCGCAGATTAGAGCTATAGCTGTTGGCGATAGTACTACGCTATCTTATAACAATATGAGGCGACAACATGTCCTTTTTTTATCTTATTTTTTATCAACCATTTTCACCTTTGCCTATAAAAGTCTGGAGAAGTTCGTTATACAACTCTGGCTTTTGCTCCCACAGGAGATGACTCCTTGTCTAGACTGAGAACGAAGATACGCGTGCTGTAGTAGTCGGGTTTAAACTCTCTCAAGAAACACTTTCGCTTCCAGAAAAGACAACTATTTGATATGGATGATTGTATGGGCTCTCTTTTTAGTTGTAGAAATAATTGTGGCTGTTGCCAAAACCGATATCGCACAAAAAATAAGGTTTGATGTGACTTGATGCAATAAAAGGCGCGCCTTTTTTCTTCCTTTTCCTTCCCCTCTTTCTCTTCTTTCTTCTTCATCCTTCTCTTGTCCTTCTCCAGCACCACTCACCACCAGTCTTTACCTCTACTTCCCTCCTCAAAAAACATGCTTTCCCGTAAATCCTTTGTTGTCCTTTTGGCCATGGTTGGTCTCTCAAATGCAGGTCCTCTTGCCTATGGGATTTGCCAATCAGGATGTAATGCTCTTGTGGTAGCATGCTACGCAGGAGCGGGTTTTACTTTCGGAACAGTTACCGCGGGTGCTGGTGTCCCTGCTGCTATAGTAGCTTGTAATGCAGGGCTTGGAACATGCATGGTCGGTTGTATTGCTGCTGGATTCACTCCAACCCCTTAGTCTTCTCGTACAAAGATAAAAGAAAGCATGAAATGCGACGAATGTTTAAGCAAGCCTTGGCCAACTATCCACGTCATATATTCTTTATTCTCTAAAAAAAAAAGAGATAGTCAAGCAGCGCCTCAAAGCTCTATTGCCTTTCCTAAACAATGGTTGTTCTTATTATAGTTGCCATAGTCGATTTCATTTGAAGAAAAAAAAAAATGAAATAAAGCTTCCCGATGTTGTAAATCTCATATTTTTGTTGGTAAATCAGTTTATTTCACAATTGGAGCCCTGCTTGACTCACCGACTTGAACAAAGCTTTTATCAAAGGGTTGTGAAGGCTGTTTGGGAATGTAAAAAACAGCTAGTCATGATACATAATCTTGGTACATTTTGCTATAACAGTTTCCAACACCTTTTTTTCTTTTTTCTTCACCGCTGAACTTGGCCGAGGCGGTGCACTGCTGTGCGAATAGTAATATGGGAATGAGCCAATCATTGAACCTTAATAATAGAGTTTGGGTATAACAGTTTGTTGCTCATGTGATAATAGCATGGCGAAGACGTAAAAATGTTGGTGTAGCCTGCCCACAACAGAGTAAGAGCCTCCGCAGCATAAATTAAACGTAATGGTAATGGGCGACTTGGGATGCTCTTGAAGCCATACAAACATTCTTCAGTGGCTGCACTGGCTCTATATCATCAACCTGAAAAAATATAAAAAAAAGTTTGTAGAATACGGGACCAATGCTGTCATCAGTCCACCAATCTCCTTATAGAAGTCCTCCTCTACCTCTTGATTTAATTAGAGCTCTGAGCCCTGTACAAGTATACAAAAATATTGGTTCTGCATACACACTTTAGGGATGGCATGATTCGCCTGATGGATGTTCCCTCCAGAAACGTATTTACATGGGGTTGGCTTAAGTGCTATTCGGGCATACTGCACTGGAAGCTCTTACATGCTTAATGCCCCTAGGCACATACGGCCGTAACGAAAGTAAAGGGTGACATGATGTTTCAATGAACACGTAATCACAGTCTACATGTATATGAACATATAGTAAACTATAAAAGAGTTGCAGACTTACAATCGTAAGCTCAAATAGAATCATGCGACTTCATCGCAGTTGGCTCTTGCCTTATAGGTAAAAGCAATGAGATTTCGCAAACACTAAACTAAGCACAATACGAGGGAAACTCCTATCTAAACATCCATGATATTTATATTACACTGTGAATGTTGTTGGGAAATTTGGAGCTGACTTAGTAGGAAATGTGGCTCTTGAATGGTTTATGTAGCTGGCCGCTCCCAGCTACAGAGATAGAAAAAATACTTCGAACGAACACAAATAAAACTGTACAGCACACAAAGTCTGGTTGAGAACAGTCAGTATACAAATGGTTCTGTTGACAAAAGAAGGATCTTGTAATGGTCTATCTACGACTGATGATGAGTGTTGGGGAAGTTCTTTACCTAAACAAGAATAACCAGTACCTAAACATCCCTGTTGAACAAAAAGAAGAAACAAAGATCTAGAGTCTCCTGAGCCGCTACACTTTTATAGGTTGGCAGCTAGTCCTCCACGTGACCATAACAACACCAACAATGCCATGCGGTCCGCTTTTTTAATGGCATGTTGAAGGAATGTACATGTACCTTGTTTGGTACAATTACTATTATTATTTTGACAATTGCGCGCTATTGGAAAAAGAGTCCGCTGTGCTTTGATTTCTGAGTTCGGAATATTCAGCCACCAATTTAAAATGTTTTGTCTCTATTGACAGAGCTGCTGTTACCAGAGTTGATGTTGACGTTGATGCAACCCGACCTTATAACGACATGGGGATGATGCATCAATTTTTTTATACGCGTATAAATTTCTTCATTTTATCAAACTCTTTTGCCTCTGCCTAAAAGTCTATAGTTCTGCAGTAGTCTGTAGTTTGTTGTCTTTGCCTTCACATAAGGTGCTCCTTTGCCTAGACTGATATTGAAGATACGTGTAGTAACCAGAGCTATACTTGCACTCTCCCGAGAAATACTTTCGTGTTGACATCTCCCTGCTTCCATGCCCTGCCGATATACAAGCAAAAATGACTGAGAGATCGGTCGTCACAATTGCGTGAATTACTCGGGGTGAGTTGCTTTGATATATATATACTTTATTAGCTTATGTATTCTTCCCGAGAACGAACACGCCAATGAGAGCAGCTCTGGTTTTTTCTTTGAAGGAAGGGGAAAAGTGGAGAGAAACCACATCTTATTCATCCCATGCACCACAGAAAGCCGAGCTTATTGGATGGCTAGTTTTCTAAACAGTGACAGTTTTCACTCAATCACTCAATCACTCAATTAATAAACAACTCTCTGCGAAACTGTATTCAGGCACCATCCAAGACGGTGTATTGGTTTTCATGACGTTTTTTTATTGTTCTTTTCGTCATAGCCGGTGTGTGTGAATGACTCAGCGATCCAATGGTTCAATGATTCATTTTCATTTTCCGATCTGCATTAGCAAAAAGAATGAATGAATAAACTCTGATTGCTCATTGTTCTTCCATCGTAAACAAGATGACGAACTTTGGTCGTACAAATCCGCGACATTGTAATCCGAACAAATTGGCTACTTGACCTAATTGCCTTGTACCCCAAAGGTGCTTGCTATTAAAAAAAAGCCATTTTAGATGCAGTACCGATACTGAAGTCGCTTATTTCTTTAACGGTTTAGTGACTTGACTCTTGATTGTTTCTCTATCTATACACACTACCTTCTGTATAATTGATTTTCAAGCTTCTCTTATTTGCCATATGTTAATCCTCAGGTTCATAATTATTATGGTGGATATCCCTATTATAGTCATCCATTGATCTAGTTCAACTAACTCCTTACAGCCATTGTCAAAAATCAAAAATCAGTAACTTTAACAACTTTAGCGGAGACAAAAAAAAAAAAAAAAAAAAAAAACAAACGCTGAGATTCTGATGCTTCCATTGTAAACATGAACCACAATTGCAAGCGTGACTATGTCATTCCCCAATCATCATCCCTATTCACGAACTCTTTCTCCCTCGGAATAATTATAGGCTTCAACGATATTATGATGTTGTTAACAAATCTCCATGCTCGTTTAATCCGCTCATCGAGAGTGAGAGACTGATGAAGGTTTCACTATCAGCGTTTGTTATTCAATTAAACACTTATAAAGATGGGGATGTTTTCTGTCTGAATGTTTAAGAATGTACATGTACAACGTTTTAATGGAAGTAAAGATGTTGATTTCCCTAGAGAAAAGGAAAAAAAGAAAAAAAGAAAAAAAAAAAGGCATCATTGTTTCCAATCATACCAAATACAGTAGACAAGTGAGAAAAATAGCTGAGACTGTAAGTTTCCAGAAAACGATACTATTCTTTGTCTGCTGCATGATCTTGAAGGACGCACGGATCATTTACATGGAGAAAAGAGGGAATATGCAAGAAAAGAGGCAAGATACAAAAAACACTAACCCGTAAACAATACGAAAACAAAATAAACAAGTCCAATTGATCATTGATTCAATGGCTCATGCCTGGCAAGCAAGATTAAAAAAAAAAAAAAAACAAAAAAACAAAAGCCTGAAATCTTTTTCTCCCATGACTGGTTGTACGATGTCATTGAGAGGCATGTAGGGTTGCATTGAAGCTTATTCTGCTGATCCTTGGAGGTCTGGAGAAAAAAAACAACTGGCATCACATTTTGGGGATGCATGATCCGTCAATGGCCGTAACGGTCAATGCGGGAATACAGCGCTGAATAAACTCGGTGGGACGGACGTGTTGTCCTGAAAACCTAAATTTTTCTTCTTTCACTTTCTCTTCCCATTCTCGACTTTATACTATATAAACTACCCTCATCCCCACGTCCATCTTAGCTGCTACCCTTTCCCTCTTTCCCTCTCTCCCTCCCCCTGCGATTGCATTTGCGCAATTTACCTCTCGGTTACCTCCATCTACAAACGGCTTGACTTTGTTATATCACTTGATCACTTGTCAACCCTTAATTGTATGTTCTATCCAAATAGTGTTTGTGTTTCAGCCTAATTAATACCATATGATATTGCCACTGACATCAAATAATTCATGTTATCTCTCTTAGTAAAAAAAAAAAGTAGAAAGAATGGATCGGTTTGAAGCCTTGGTTACTCGTGGTTCTTTACAATGCCAAGTGGCAATTAAAGTTGCCAGAGCTAATCTGGAGCTTTCTTATCAAGAACGAGACCCCAAAGTGGCCCTGGAACAATGCTTAGATGCTTGCGCTGCTTTATATCGCATACGAAGCCACGAGCGGAAGAAGCTCGCTTCATCTTCGACTCTGGTGGACAAGTGCCTGTGTCAAGACATTTCAAGCGCTTGGCAAGAGCTTGGACAACAGTTTGAGAAAATAAATCGTCAAAGCGAGGCGAAGGCCTGTTTCAGTCAGGTTAAGAAATGGCGCCATCACCAAGGTGGAACCCAGTCTTCTCTACACAGCTCAAGCTCTAGTATTAGTGGCAGCACCATCAATAACGACCACAGCAACAACATTAAAGTAAGAGAGAGCATCGACGACGGAAGAAGCAGCATCACCAATGACAGCGACAGTCACACCATCAGCAGAAGAAGTAGTATCGATAGAAGAAGCAGCGTCAACACTGACACCAGAAGTATTAACGAAAAGAACATCAATAGCATTAACACATACGGCTATGGCGTTGAAAGTAGCCCTATATCTCCTATATCCTCTATATTCTCCATTCCGAGCAGCAGCAAAGACATTGCGGTCCTCAAATCAATCCAGCTCTCGATGTATGATATTCGTTCAGAGATCTTCAATAGCGATGTCCTACCAACGTCTGAAAAATGCAAACTACCAGAAGTAGATGAACGATTGGAGGATGTTCAGCAGCTCGTGCACTGCCTCAGTCTACTACCATCTGCACCTCTTCCAATGAAAAGTCCCCATAAAGAGGAACAGAAATGGTCTATCGCTAGATCCAAGGATAAAGACGAGATGGAACGACTGCAGAGTCTCGCATCAGAGATGATTGCCATGTTCACCAGTGATGGAAATATCAAAGCCGAAGCTACAGTTGCTGAGGTGGTATGCTTGGCTCCGG